GATCATGCTGTTCACAGAACTTTACCTGTCCCTTACCAAGGGACAGCTAGATGACAGGTAAAGTTCTGTGAGGTAATGTATATCCATGATTAGGCAACCTGTCTGTAGCGCATCTGCGGCGCGTTGGTGACGTGACGTCAGCTGACCATTGCACACGTAACAGATATCCGTAGGTAAGATCCTTTGTGGGATCATGGCGTGTACATATTCTCGCGCTAAAGCCAAGGGTGTGGTCATGTTTTATATGAGACTGAACGTGTAAAAAAGTTTGCTGCATTGGCTCGTTCGTTTTTCGTTTTTGGTCCACAATTTTTTTTTTTACACCTTGCCGGAATAAGGGAGGGGGGGGGGCGTGCGCCGGGTGCGCCCCCTCCCCCCCTTGGATCCGCGCCTGGAGATGACATAACATCGATATTCTCCACAGCAGACCTTCCCAGTGTTACGCCCCCTTTTAAGAAAACCTTGTGAACATGGTAGTTTAATTAATTTGTTTCAAATCTGGAATGAAGCATTAGAATAAATATTCATCGTTATACGACTTTCTGTTCCAGCATGGAGCATATAAGGTCCAATCTGCAATATTTGTAGTTGTGATAATTCTTATTGATGGCAGCAATTGATACACTATTCGAGGCTTTGCGCAAGTAACATTAATTAGGTTCAATTGCAAAATTTCTAACACATATCATCACAGATTGCATGGAAATAAGTAATTATGTTACAAAAAGTGAAGAGTGGAACACTGAAAGTTTTTTCTTTATTTTCGAGTGACATGAAATCACGTGATTCTGGTTCGGTGGCCATTTTAAAATGAACAGAAATTTTGCGTAGCAGTTGGGTTTAATCAAATCTATTATAATTATACGGTAAGGTTTCACCTTTATTTCAATGGGAATTGGTTTATTATATGTTAAGCTACGTACAGTACAGTTTTGGAGTCAGTGTAATTGGAAATTAAGGGACTTATATAGGCCAGTTACTTTTTTGTAGTCAAATGACGAACCACAAGAGCTAGCTGTGAATTTATGAGACCAAGTTTTTCTAGACCGGTTTTTTTGCGTAGATTCCGAATCTGTGTGATGATCAGGCGTTTGAGGGGACGTTTTCGAGATATGGGGGGTCCAATGTCTACAATTGGGGAAAAATGTGATTATGTTGACATAAATGATAATCATGTTTTATATTAATAAAACATAAATTTCTAGGACTGCCCATCTCTAAATAAATGTTTATGATGCCCCTGGACAATTGTTTTGATTTGTGGCGAGGTGGGATGGGGGGTTGCAGGTGTGCGTGTGTGGGTGGGGTGGGGGTAAAATTGGCGGGAAATGGTTCACGTCGATTTAAATGATGATTTTCTTAGAGCTTGATGAAACATCTCTCAATATGTTTATAAGATTACCATTGCGTGAGAGTGGGCGCCGGAGTGGGTGCCCGTTGGTGGGGGTGGGGGGGGGCAACATGTGTTTTTGTGGACAGAAATCATTTGGTTCAAAATTGACCTTAAAAGTGGTTTCTCGTTAGCGGTTTCGTTTAGTAGGGCCTACCTATTTCGTCATTCAATATATTAAATTATAATGGTACTTTTAAGAGATCAGTAAATCAGAGACATGTTTAGATATCAGTTTATTCTTAAGGCCCGCTCCCAGTGGCCGATGGACACAAAACGTATGCAAAAAGGACACAGCGGACGAGCAAACTTTCGGGGGTGGCTCCATCCGTTTTCATCCGCTCCAGAAATGGACAAAATTGACGAAAATTTGCGAAAACAGAACGGAAAAGAACGAACGTGGGAAATATGTAGCGGGGATGTTAAATGGATGTTCATCGGAAGCCTAGCGGATGAAAGCGGATGATCCCTCAATATACCAGATACATCCCAGATACAAACGCTTTGTCCATTTTGAAAACTTTATATACGAGATGCATACGCTTACATCCTTTCTATTTCCGTGCTACTAACGATGTATAGACATTCCATGTACCTTATCTTTCCTCCCTCTGACCGTTTTCAGCTGGAGCGGATGTGAGTTGCGAGGATGCCCAGAGGATGCAGAGAGGATACAGTGGACGTTTAATGGATGATACCGGACACGGAACGTTTGGTGCTCGTATATGTCGCGCATTAACATCGTACACGGCAGAAAGTTCATCCGTTATAAAAGTTTTGTGCAGCTCAAAACTTTTTGCGCGGATGAAATCAAAGTGAACGTATGCTCGATGGATAGAGCGTATGAAACACGTATGCAATGAGTACACAACGGATGCATGGCGTTTTCAAACGGAGGGCACGTTTTTTCCCCGTTTTACATCCTCTTTCCATCCGTAAGTGCAGTGGGACCGGGCCTTAAGTCTTCATCAGAAGATTCAAAATCAAAGTTCACAGTATGAGCCGGATAATAATCACCACACAGATTTGGAATCTACGCAAAAAACTGGTTTAGAAAAACTTGGTCTCATGATGGAGGCCGCGTGATGTGACGTCACGTGTTGAAGACAGTCATCTTTTGCAGAGATATTAGAAGACTTCGCAATCTTCTGTGAATTAGATTGGTCCCAGGCCTGTAGCGCGCGCTGTATCAAAAAGTCTGTCATTGAGTCGACTGGCGTGGTTTCGAATCCCCGGTTGTACGTGACAAGGAGTGGGGTCGCCTGTCCAACCTCGTGGGTTTTCTCCGGGTCCTCCGGTTTCCTCCCACTGCTACAGACCCCTATGCGCAAGCGAATTATTGAAATAAAATTAAACCATATGTTAGTCCCGAAATGACCTAGTTTGTGTCGAGTGGACGTTAAACCCCATTTCTCTCTCTCTCTCTCCCAGGCCTGTAACGATACAGGCTTCATCCAAAGTTATTAAAGGCACATACATGTATCTCATATCCAGAATATTAGTGTTAGTTACTCTAGAGACTTCGACTGACTGGGTCTGTAAGATATAGATAAAAGAAACCCATAAATTTTATACACTGGACTTCTGTTAAGGATGGACAAAATACTTATACAATAAAATAATTGTTTGTGAGGGAGTCTTGATCTCGGGCATCTTCATTTCTTGAAAGTACAAATCAGTAAGCTTGCGGGATATGAAGTTGACTTGGCTATGAACATGTCTAATTTCCCGACTTTTTTAAACCCCTTTCTAATTGTTGTCTGATTTGTTGGAGACCATATTTTTGTTCGTGCTAATATAAGATAAAACTGCATTGAAGAAAAGACATGCATATTGCTTAAACATTGCAGCATCCAGGGGCGCCGGAACGGCCAGGGTTCCATCCCCACCCCCCGTCTCTAGAAAATTTTGAAATTTATCGATTCCGAGAACGCTGTTTAGAGCGCCTCTAGCATTCCAAATTCCAACATAAAACCCTTTAAAATACATAATAATGAAAAAGACAAAAGCATGCACTCACTGATAGCTGATAATGAGAGTGCGAGAGCCGGTTCACGACCGACCAGAGAGCAATAACATATATATCATTTAAAAGTGAACTGAATATACTAGTAAAAACTTTCATCGTTAGGGCATGGGTGGACGTGTATACCCCAGAAAAGGGCAAGGTACCTTTTGTATACCCTGGTACCCGGGTTCCGGCGCCCCTGGCAGCATCCAATATATCTGTTATAGATTTTTTTATCAATCCAGCTATATTTCTCTTGGAAATCTTAATGCGTCTATATAAATTTGGATATCCCAGACCATCCAGAAGATGGTAATAAACAATTAGGTATTTATTATGTTAGAGCCAAATCTGCGTAATGCAGATCTTTCGTTTTGCCTCGTGTTATATAAATCATTAATTAGACATTATTCACATGCCAAGTCCATAATCAACTCTCTATAGCCACCGGGTGGTTTTGATTTTCAACGGATTAAATGCGATTGCCAGTTGATAATTCAATTGAAAATGGTGGATAATCGAGACTTTGTATCGAAGCGACGGAAGACATGACAATCGAGTCTATGATGTTGTTCAAATAGCCATAACTCCGCTAAGAATGAAGTAATTTGACTGAAAGTTTCAAGATTTCACATTTCGTTATCTATTTTTTTTTTACTATTATAGTGAGTACTGTTAGCTCTCTATCTCTTTTTTACCGTACTGACTATAGTAATGATGATCGAGGCTAGCCTAGAATTGAAAATCAAATATCTCGATTCAGAGTGGAGTAATTTGACTGAAATTTTCAGCATATTCAATATACGTTTTCTATTTTTAACTCTTATAGCGAGAACTCTTGATCTAATCTCCCATAATGCCCCTTTAAGAAAACACAATTAAACCAACGCTAGATAATTTCACGACCTGGATTCAATCGGATTTAAAACAGGTCCATCAATTTGGTTCAAGGAAATAGAATACATCGATGGAATTTGCCATTGGTCATGTACTGAACGGAACTGGACCATAGGGCTGACATTTCTATTAGACATTCGACTTTCATAATAGTGTAGTTTGTAAGGGATTCTATAGCACTAAAATCACGCTCAGTCTTTTAATGTGGTTGAAGTTGGAAATCCGATAAAAATGAGAATGTTTGTGTTTTATGCGATATTTTGAACAATTTTTTGATTACAACCAATCTCCAATTAAAAACTAAAAATTAAGACAGGCTGTGCAATAACGGATATCAATTTCCGGTAATTGTTGTTCTTTTTGCACTTGTTTTAATTTGTCCCCTTACTTTTATTCATTGGGTAAACGGCAGATTTGTCACGCGACTCTAATGTTTGTCATTTACAGCACGAGATGAATGAATAGATGTGTAAACTTTTAAATGAGTCATTTAAATTTTCTATGAATCAAGAATACGTGTCTGTTATTCTCTGTTTATTATGTAAGCCTTATTTATAATACCGGTTGTTCCCCGAGAGACTCAAGAGTTTGGAGTGGTATTTTCCCGCTATAAATTGACGTCACGTGCCCAGCCTTCGTTGGTCTTGAACAACAGGACATAATATCATGCATGTGTCTTTTATTGTTGGTTAATCGAGACTGAAAATTTCTCTTCCCGATCAGGGCGCTCGTCACTAAAAATAGCTGACAGCTGATCTTCTGTGGTTTTGCTTTCAGATATGTTTTGCCGTCGACATGGAGGGACGAGCAGTGACATTACTGGACAGATTATGGCCTGTCTTAATCCTTACATCATTTGGTCCTGTCGTTGTAAGTACAATCTGCTAAATAATTATGTGAACATTACGTCATAATGTGTATTTACCGGGGGATTATTAACACTTCAGTATGACTGATATTCCCCGGCGAAATCAGCTGTTTTCTGTTTACAAATTGTCCAATATGACCTAGAAATACATTGCATATTTTTGGCTAAATGGACGCAGTTTCCAAAGCCCGTTCCTTGGTGCATCGTTTAGAATTGTTAGTAGAGATATTGCATTTATATTTGCCGTTGCCTATTGGAGGATAATTAGCCTGTTACAAGTGCATTGAGAGTACGCTTATCAATGATGAAGATTGTAAACTATACCATTTGTTATCTTTCCACACAACTAACTCATCACTGACATATAAATACTGGCCTTGAACTAAAAAAGAGATACTTCAAGCTGATCAAGGGCTCATAAATAAGGGTTAACACTCAATACCCAAGGTGCTAGCTTATCTTATCTCCTTTCTTTTTTAATTCTTGTTTAAAGGGACAATGTGTAATCATCAAAGTAAATATCCCCTTGAATGTGACAATATATTCTTCCTAGAATGATAACTTGCTTCCATCAAGAAACCAATTTCCTCAAATTTTGAGATATTTTTTGAACATTTTGGATTTTTCCCATTTCTGATGTTGTTTACAATAATGACATCATTCAATTATGTCAATCTTACCGTCTAGTAGAAGTTACCGGCGATCATGTTTGATCCGACTCCCATTTCTATTTCCATCACTTTTACACCAAAAAACTAGTGGTTAGCCGTCCGTACTGTGTCCACATGGAACTTCCTCTCGACCCATCATATCTTGAGATATGGAATGATACTAAGTATAGAGTTCTCTCTAGCATATGCTTTGCGAATCAAAGCAGCATCAACTGAACAAAAGCTACCATATTTTTCTTTGTCATTTATTGTATTTCCTTATGAAACTATGATTATGCATCTAAACCTACCTGAGACATACTGTGAGATCTTTCAAGCATAAAACATACATTATGCAAGAGCTAAATATGCCTATTGCAGGTCTTTCTTTAGGCCTGAAATGTTTTCTAAATTATTAATTAGACATTAATTAACTTATCCAGGCTATAATCAAATCTTGATGGCATTGGATTTCTCCGATATTAAATAGATCAGAACAGTTCAGCTATATTTTGATTTAAGCTAATAATTGAGGAGCGAGACTTAGCTTCGAATAACCAGTATGGTGGTTGAAATTATTGCACACGTCTTGTCAAACCTTCCAAGGCTAATATCTTCACTGGCAATAGAGTAATTTGAATGAAATTTTCAAATTATTCATTTTACATTATCTATTTTTGAGCTATTATAGCAAGAATGGCCAGCTTTTTATCTAAATATTACATAATGTATCTTTAATTAACAAAGTCAGATAAAATGGGTCCAATCGAGGCTAGAAAAAAAACACATCAGATTTATCTCAACATATTTTAAGTCACCCTCTCGTTGCTAACCACAGTGGCGTACAGAAGTTTGGTGTTGCCGAGAGCCAACTCCTTGATCATAGGCCTCTAAGACAGAGAACTGTACATGAGAATAGAATACATTTTAAATATGTAAAAAACAGATGATATAAACTTGTAAACTATTTATTCAAATTTTGTAGGGCAGTTTTTACAACAAAGTTAAAGGGACTATCCCGATTTGAACAGAGTCTCAAAAATAAAAGTACGAGTACATATGAAATTTAAGCACTCAAATATAGAGAAATGGTGTATTTACCTTGTCTCAAAATTTCAGCTCAAAATATTGAGTCGTTTGGACATGAAAGTCAAAAAAGTTCTTATCCGGACAGGTAACCCTTTTAAGATTTCGGGTCAATTTTTTCGTTGGGCAACCTGATAATCTTTAGAGGTCTATACAGTGAATGACCCGTGTGCTGTACTTCATAACGAAGGGTACATTTCACCTACACATTATTTTTATAAAATAAAACTCTGGTTTTATCAAGACACCGTATAATACTGGTCTCCATTTCCAGATGAAGACTGACAGGTTTAAGTTGTTTGAAAACGTATGACAAATATTGAGTTAGTTGCTCGGCTCTTAGGTAGAGGATTTTAAGGGATTTTAACACAAAATTAAACATTTTTATTCTCCAGAATATTATCTGGATTGGCCCTTTAACATAATTAACCCACTCTTCAAAAGACTTTAATTTCACTCTTTGATGAGATGATGGGGCTGTTTCCCTTGTCTGCCTATTTCTCTGCTCACCACTTCCATCTGGTCTTGCTGATCTGAATTTTGTCATAAAGACCACAAAACACATTAAAGGTTCAATTTGACTCGAAAACAGACCTTACAATCTAAATGTACAAGGTGAGATCATTCGACCACAACCTCCTTTCTTTTGTTAAGACTTAAACACCCCTGGATTGCAGTGGAATGTATCATTCGCCTTAAAAGACCTTTTTATGATTTCCAAATGGTAGATGTGCATATTTAAAACAATTCAAAAAATATTTACAGACCACCCTAATTTATATAATGTGAATCTTTATTGAATTTGAGCTGCATGAATAATACTTTTAAATTTTTTTTGTACTATTGTAATGTATGAATATTTTAAAAAATAACAAGCGTGACTAATAAACCATGTGTGTAAACATGAACATTGAAATAGGTATCCGTGAAAAAAACACATTAAAGGAGCATTATGTAAGATTTAGATAAACAGCTGATCATTCTTGCTATGGTAGTTCACAAATTTGAATTATTACAGAGCTTGAACCGCTGAACCTGTCATTGATATTTTAATTTGTACATTACTCACAGTTGCTGGCTAACACCAATACCCATCTATTCATCGAATTGCCACTATTCTAGATTATGGGGGAGCCATGGTGACTCAGTGGGTAGGACGTTGGCTTGCTAACCGAGAGGTCATGTGTTTGATCCCTGCATTGGACAAGAAAGCATGGTTCCTCCTTGTCAATGGTGTAGGACGGAGGGCCTGGCAAGGAACAACTAAAAGTCGGTTGGATGGGACAAAAAAAAACAAAAAAAAACGAGGTCTTGTGAACACATTGGCATACATGTTTAAAAACTCTTGACAGTTGGAATTCGCTGTCCGGGCATAATTGCCCTTATAGCACAAAGCATGGCATACATTTTCTCCATCTTCATTAGCCCAGTAAGAGCAGAACAGTAGCCCGTTAAAGCCAATTTCATTTCATTTCTAGATTATGGCACGGCAGCTGCATATATATATATATATATATATATGAACATGCAGTATATAAGATATAGATAAAGAGCTGCATGTTCTTGCTATACTAGTTCAAAAATAGATAATGAAAAATGAAGATAGTGTAGATCGTTCATTAAGAATAGCAGCAGTATTTGACAAAGCTCCCCTTGAATAATCTGTAAAGATATAATGTCTTTTTGGTAACATAGATTTCTGCTTGTTTATGTATTGCATATTATTAATGATTGTGTATTTTGAATCGTGACCACATCTTTAATCTCAACCTCTTTACATTGTTTTATTATATAAAGCCCATGATACATATATTATTTCTTGCTGTATTTAGTTTTATATCATTTTCATCAGCTGCATCAGGTCATCATTTAAAATATAATCATCACGATTTTCAAAAGTATGTATATATAGATATTCACACTTTGCTACGTTGGAAGACCATAAAACAGATGTCTTATTGGTTTGGCCATGTTTTAAAAAACATTAGTTTGAATTGGACTTAAGCCGGAATAGTGCTTTCTTTTATAGAGGAAAACCCTTGATGAGAGGCTTCAAATTGTATTTATGTATACTAGAATGTAATAAATATAAAAACATATCTTTACTCCCCCATTAAATTTGTCTTGTTTATGGGTAGTTGTTTTATATGGAGTAATTGAACATTCACACTACTAAAATTTAGGTCAGTTCAGTCAGTTTATTTTCCATTTAATATTCAATTCACAAGTAAATAGATCATTTAAATTGTTGACCTGTTTTTAAACAGTGAAAAGATTAGCCTGTGGGGAGATGATAAACCTTTTTATTTAACCTGTATATTCAAGAAAGATTTTTTTCAAATTAAGATTCAATTTTTGCAGAAGGAAATGTATTTTTCATAGCTGTGTGTTATTTAACCCATAGATCGACAAGTTTTTTTCTTTTACAATATGTAAAGTATACTGCTCTTTTCTGAGCGATGTTTCGATTGGGCTTCTCGTCATTATCAAGAAATAATAATATATAAAATATAAAATATAACGAGACAATATATATATACATGTAAAAAAAAACAACAATACTTGGTTAACTTAACTTAATTAAAGTAATGTAATTATGAAAGTGATCAAGGTTGATACTGTAACCAGCGACCTCGGGGCCTTTCCTCTAGAGGTTGCATGTAGCATGACCTTTAACCTCCCATAATATACTGTTGTTTGATGTTGGGTGGTTTACTGGCTGAGAAAAAAATAGCAGACGACGCTTGGCTATACCCGACGCTTGGCTATACCCGCGGTAAATAATAATCAAGTTGTACCTCTCTATATATAATATGCATGTATGTAAATGAATATTATATTATGTGATTTAACTTTTTACTGTTCGGTTATGATATTATAATGTAAGTTGGTAATCCCAGGGCTCTCCAAACCTGGTACCAACCGCAATCATATTGTTGTCTGGAGAAATAAAGTTGGTTATTTTTTTGAAAAAAAAAAGAAAAAAAGGTTGATACTGTAATACTAGTAAAAAAATTCTATATGACATAGATCGCTTTGTCTGAAAATAGAAAGTGTAAATTAAAGGATGCTTAACAAGTCAGCAGTTAAAGAGGCATACCCAGTATTATAATTTTGAATTTTACATAGCCTATACATGTAGTTAAATTGATTATCAGTGTGAAACCTATAATTAGCAGGTGTGTACTAGCTGTAAAAATGTCAATTACAGTGTAAAAAAGGTGACTAATTCTAATCCCACCCTATTTAATACATAAACCCAACCAACAAGTTATTAGTCAGTTATTAACATCTCAGTGATACACAATCTACTAAATGACTACTATCTGTTTTCTAACCATGTATTAAAGTGATCAAGCCTTGACATAAGGTAGTGGAACTATAATGCCTTTTGGCAGTTGGAATAGAAAGAATAATCCACTGTTGGGGCAAAATTCTCCTCGAAATCATTGTACCTGTAAAAATACAAATTAACTTTTATATGCTAGTCATGCAATGATAGGGCATTAGATTTTGTTGCATGCAATTTTTTTTTTGAAATATTTTCTGAAACAGGAAAAGGCTAGGTTTTGTGGAACATCTCTCCCCAAGACACCCCCGCCCCCTTTATTTCGCATATTGACTTTGTGAAAATCTGATGTTAATTTGACATGTCTGTTATGATATCTCTTTCCTCTTAAATGTGTGATTCATGACGCAAAAATCCAGTCCTATAAATTGTTTGGCTGTTTGATCAACTTGACCCAAGTCAACATGATCAGGATGTAAATTTCTTTATAAAATGTCTGTGAAAAATGACATGTAATTGATTAGGCTACATAATTAACATATTACAATTAACTATGTGCTAAGTTTTTATGATTAAAGATACCTTTTAGGTCATTGTGTCCCTAATAAAAGGTATTTCATATTTCTAATATTGCAAGAAATTTATTTTTAATTTGACAGATTAGAAATTGACATGCAATACATATTACACATTGTAATTATAATGAGATCAAGGTTATGACATATATAGCCTACCTTCTTTACCTTATGTGAATCCAATGACATTAGACCATTATACAAATAACTATCAATTATTTTAATTGTCTAGCAATGATACCTGTGTCTGTGTCAAGTAATATAGATGTGTCTGTATTATTTATAAGGGTATCATTTTCCTTTTAATTTTTCAGATACAGGTAGATTTATGTTCAGATTCACTTACTGTCCGTGGTTCATGGTTTACAAAACATAATTCTGTCTTTTATAGCATAACATATTTCACTTTCATCATGGGCTCTTTAGTAGTGGGCAGGTACCAACTCCAGATTATCCCATATACAGGTGAAACTACACGCAAAATTAGTTCAGTGCTTAATCAGTTTGGTGATTTGGTCCATATTTAGAATTCCTTCCAGACCCACCAGTAGATTCTGCTGGGGCCTTTGTTATACCCCACATTAAAATGGGGTTGTATATTTTTTTCAACCCAGTCAGTGTTTATCTATATCAGACAAAAAAGCCTATGGAATATGGAATTTCAATGATTTCCAATAATTATTGTGAATACTCTAAAAGATAAAGTTATCGTCATTTGTGCTCCTTTGTATGCTTGCATATGTGTAACTAAACCAAAAAACCCCAACAAAATATTTAGTGTAAATCAGTCAATTGAAAGTTCAAAGGTCTGGTTTTTGTTGGTTGGAGACAAAGACTCACCCACCCTCTTCCAGTTTTGTTTTAATGCACTCTGTGTACAGGAAAGGACCTGTTCTGAGTTGGTCTTCCCTTCCAAAATATCCTGGTTTTGCACTTGTTAGAGTGTAAATAAATGAATGTATGATATAAAAGATAGGTTAATGTGGCAGAGCAACGATATAATGAATGAGTTACAGAGATATTTCAACTGACCATTTAACTTGGGTCATTCAAAGGTAAACTCTTGACTTGACCTTACACCTGTATGTTTTTGATATATTACAATTTAATACCTTCAATCATATAGTTTAAATATATACACTTATAATATGAGTGTGAATTCAACTTGTTATAAACGCAGTTTGTTTCTTATGAATACAACCTTACCGACCAACTGCATCAGTGAACCAGGGTTGTCCCATTTAAGTATTCAATTTTGTTTTTCATCCCACCCTATTAAGCGAAAAATTATCAAAGTATTTATTAATTGAAATTCTATCAATGAGAAGGGCAATTCCGAGTTTTACTCCATCATACAAATAAGTTTACATGTGGTCCCCCTCATTAGCTTATATTTGTCCGTTCTGTTGCCAACATTGACATGTTTATTCTGTTTACAACAAAGCCACAACATAATGTTACAAACAGCAAGTTATAAGATTATTGTAATCATTTAATTCAGTTTATTCAGGTTTAATATATTCAGTTACATAATAGGTGCAGTTTATGCAAGTACATGTACTTTAAACTTTAACATACATAAGCTGTACAAATTATGTAAATAACAAGGCAGTGTTGTATATAAATAAAACAACTCAAGAGAACATGTACTTAGACTTAATTAATTGTACATTTATATTCCTAAATATTTATTTATTAAGTCCAGCATGAGCAAATTTAACGATATGTAATATCTTCTAAGTCGGTGTCTGGACAGCTGAAATTAGCCCAGGTTATCATGTAATAATTTGACCTGTGTGATTTATGTTAGTCTGTTAAATAAGATATTATAAATGACCACTATGCATGATATGTTAAGTCATTAAACATATTTTACTCTATTGACAGCGTTCAGAATAATCAAAATGGAATAGCAAAATTATGACTAACAAGAGGCCCAAGCATTTTAATCACCCATCATTGTGCATTGAAGATTTCGTTTAGTGGGAATATGGAATTCTTAGAAAAATTAAAAATAGCAAGATGCCCAAGGGTCTTAAAGATGCATTACATGTATGTAAGAGCTAAATATTCCTATTGCAAGTCTTTATTGTGGCTTCAAATGTTATATAAACTGTTATTATTAGACATTTATACACATGGCAAGCCTATAATCAACTCGCTAGACTATCGGATGGCAGAGATTAAAGCAGATTGAAACATGATCTCAAGTTAATGATTCAATTTAAAAATGGAAAATCAAGGCTTTGTCTCGATTAACAAGTACCGTTGCTACGAAATGAAATGGGATTTAACATTTTACTGTTCTGCTCCGACTGTGCTAATGAAGATGGACCATTGTTACAACAATAAACATTCTATGCCACATCTAATTTTGATAATTTCTTTCAGAATAAAGTAATTTGAATTAAATTTTCAATATTTTTTTATCTATTTTTGAACTATTATAGCAAGAACAGCCATCTTTTTATCAAAATCTTACATAATGCGACTTTAGTCACCCATTGGTTAAAATAGTGTGCATAAGACAATTTAGGCCTGAAATGTTATCTAAATTATTAATTAGACATTAATTTATCCAGACCATAATCAACCCTCGATGCCATCACTAGCGTGCGATATTTAGTGGATTGGAATACATTTTATGAAGGATAATTGAACATAAAAATGGATAATCAAGACTTTAGTATTGATGATCGAGGCTAGCCTAAAATTCAAAAGCTAATATCTCGGTTCAGAGTGGAGCAATTTGGCTGACATTTTCAGCATATTCTATTTACATTATCTATTTTTTAACTATTAACTCTTTATCTAATCTCCCATAATCCTCCTTTAAATTGTAAAGACAATCAGCATTTTCAAAACACAAGATTTTGTTGAAATATTTAAAGTTATGTCAAAAGATGTTAAAATAATGAGCCCTCAGACTAAACTGTCCTTGCATGCTCTGCTTCCATGGGCCAAAGCAATATCGTTTGAATAAAGCAACATATCTGAGTTGAAAATATTGAAATCTGTCAATCAGGGTAAGCCTGTCCTACCGATATGGGACAAATTGAACACAGCAGTAGCAGTACTGAGTAGGCTATACATACATGTATCTGTCAAATTGGGTTGAAATGAATTTTATCAAGTTTTTGTCTATTTGTTGAATAACAAGTTCATCACGTTTAATAGATTATAAAGTAATATAAGCTTCTGTATAAATTTAATAAAGATCAAATTACATGGCTGCACTACATGTCGTCCAAAGCCAGACAATTTTTGTCTCTCTGTGGCCATGAACAGATAGTTTGAAAGTTTGTCATAATCTAGTGTCACAAATAACAATGTATGAAACATTTCCTGATCAAAAACTCGTTCAATGAGGTCAGACTAAAGTGATTCAATTGTGTTGATCTGATGTTATTTTAGTTCGTACTTGGAAAACCCTTTACAAGTAAATTTTCTTTACAAATACTAGTATCTGCCGAGCTGAAATGTGGGAATGTTGCAAAACAAATCAACATCAAATAATATTTGTCTTGAAATATAATTAAGCCATCATTTTTATACCCAAAATGATATTTGGTCACCATCTATCCGTCGGTCGGTCCATCTATGCAGACTACATTTATCATCCAAACTTTTTAAAATATACATGTACATATTTGTTTGCATTTCTGATCTACCACACCTATTGCAGAATGCATAGTTTTACAAACTGAATAAGGCAAAAATATAACTTAGAATTCTAGTGTTAATCCATTTGTAGAACCAAGCCATCTAGAAGATGGTTTGGTAAAACCAAGTGCCTCCAGAGTCCAGAGTGATGTAGTATAAATGACTGAGCACCGCCAGAGTGGTCTAGTAAGACCGAGCACCTTCAGAGTGGTTTAGTAAAACCGAGCCATTGTGTTATTGATCTATTCTTTTTTTTTATAAAGTTAATGTCTTTATGATTTATTCATGGGAGACAATTACTCATTTGAGTTTTTTAAAAATCTTTTTAATTTATTTATTTTCATCAATATTAAACAATGAATTTATTTGATTATCCAGGCCCAAGAATTGTGTGCTGACAGTAAGAAATTTTGTGATGGTTATTGCTGTAATTCTGGACAATGCTGTCTATATTATCATGAAACATGGTGTAAGTAGAACTGTATTTGTATTAATCTGAGTAAACACTAATTAAGGTATATTCCTACTTCATTTGATTAAAATCTATTACAAATGGTTCAAAATTGAACATCGATGGCTGAATATGCCCATTTTAACATTGGTTGTACAAAGGAACAGTGGTATCTAGCTTTGGAGACTGGAGAAAATATGTATTTTTACAAAAAATATGATCTAGTAGCGATGCGAGAATTTTTCTAAAATTCACTGGTGTGTCCTTGATAAGGTACACAATCAACAGATATAAATGCATCTTAGCATCCTTCAGAAAGGGTGAAAATTGGCTCATGGAGTTTGAAAGCAAAGTACATTAATGTTTTATTATACGTCCACATTGAAATATCCAATTATACACAGTGTTTAAGGCCATGAGATGAAGAGGCCTATTGATTTTCAACGATTTCCGATAATTACTTCCAGAGTTATGGCCCTGAATATCAAATAATTACTTAATGGGTTGATACTCACTCAGATTTTAGTGTGTTGTAAATGTTTTCATTCCTAACAAAAGAAAAAAATATGCGACAACTCTTGTTGACTACCCGGACGACTTAGCTGCTGTGGGCGTATGTTTGATTGCCTGGCAATCTTATATTTTTTTTAAGTGCATTGGATCATGTGCCAACTGATAACCTACTTGAAATTTGTATCCATTGTTTAGACAGTGATAAACAAGTGTTATCAAATTTCAACTATTTCCAACAACTTTGGGTATGCTTAAACATACATTATGCAAGAGGTAAATCTGCCAATTGCAGGTCATTCTTTAGGCTTGAAATGTTATATAAACTATTAATTAGACATTTATTAACATGACAAGACCATAATCAGCTCTCGATTCCAACGGATATCTCTGAAATTAAGTAGCTTTCAACGGTTCAGCCATATTTTGATTGAATTTAAAAATTGGGAAGTGTGGCTTAACTTCGAAAAACAAGTACCGTGGTTATAATTAATGCACCTTCAAAGGCTAATATCTTCGCTCGGAATAGAGTAATTTGAATGAAATTTTCAATATATTCATTTTGCATTATCACTTTTCAAACTAGTCGTTCTTTAGATGGACCCTTTGATTTTTGTGATGTAGAGGTCACAATTTTTATCTGATTTGGTTTTAACTTGACATGTATGTTTATAACCAATAGATCTCGGTTCCTTTCCATATTTGCGTATATCGGACCATAACTTCCTGAATTATGGCCCCGGATTGTACGAAACATCGTGTTTTTTAGCTTGTGGACCCCATAGAGGTCACAATTTTTATCCGATTTAAAAAAACGTTACAATATATCACTGTTACACCCTAAGGATGGTTGAGTTCAAATTTTGTAAAATTAAAAATCAGACCGAAACTGACGGACAAAATGGCCGCCCCTCGTTCGCAAATAGTGTCAAAATACTATGTATCAGGGTTGTGGACCCTCTGGAGGTCACAATTCTCATTTGATTTTGATGAAACTTGAAATGCATGTTTTTAACCCACAGATCTTGGTTACTTTCGATATTCGCCCATATCGCACCATAACTTCCTGAATTATGGCCCCTGATTGTACGGAAAATCACGTTTTTAGCTTGTGGACCCCATAGAGGTCACAATTTTTATCTGATTTTAAAAAATCGTTTGAATATATCACCATTACACACTAAGATCTTGGTTCCTTTTGATAATTGCGGATACCGGAACTTAACTTCCTGGATTATTGCCCCTGATTGTTCGAAAAATCGCATTTTTAGCTTGCAGATTCTCTAGAGGTCACAATTTTTTTCCGATTTTAAAAACCCTTTAAATACATCACCATTCTGCCATAATGAAGGTTGAATTCGTATTTCGGGAAAATCGAAATGAAACTGCCCGACAAAATGGACGCTATTTGTACGCAAATTGTGTAGAAGTGTGTAATACGAAGGTTGTGGACCCTCTAGAGGTCACAATTTTTATCCGATTTTGATGAAACTTAAAACATATCTTTATATCCCAAAGATCTCTGTCCCTTTTGATATTTGCACATTTCAGGCCATAACTTTCAGCTTGTTCTGTTTGGTTTTTGATGAACTCTTTGATTTCATGTATTTTGATTATTCTTCAGAGTACATATTGTAGCATTGCTTGTTATTGCTATTCTGCATTGAAACATTAAAATTATTAGTTTTTGTCAAATATGCTGGTACATGTATATGTTTGTTGCTGGCAGACTCCCATATTATATAATTTAATTTTGTTTTAGGGTTCTGGTTGATGTGGGCAGGTATATTTTTGATATTAAGCTGTTGTTTTTATCAACGCGAGAAAATTTGTAAACGATGGCGACCTCAAAATCAGACAACTTCGTCTCATCCTTACCAACATATTATATCTACGACAACGATAATTCCAATTCCTAGTAAGATTTCTATTAACTCTTCTTTCTCTTTATCCAAGATGTCTGCCACATACAGTACTATACATATAATAATGTAAATGAAGAGTTAATACCCATAGCCATTGACTGTGAGTATGGCACACTAACTCATTAACAAGGATGTCTCAGATTCAATCTCACTGTTGTCGGAGAAACTTCCTCAGGTTTTTTTTCCGAACTGGTTACCCCTTGTCAATAATGCAACACAGAGGATCTGGCCGGCATCTATTTAATCGGATAGGACAAAAAATTGAGGTTCAGTGTATACCATTGGCAGCATGTTAAAATATTCCCAGAGAGTTGAAAAGAGAAATAAAACTAGCTTGTAGTGCTACCATCGAGACAAAATTCCCCACATAGCTCACTGTATAGCTTCATTAGGTAAGTTGGTTGTGGAAAAGTAAGACTTTAAACTAAACAACATTGCATTGTGATTTTGGGTAAACGGTATCAAATGTGTCTCATATATCCCACCCTGATAATAACTTCAAAATATTGACGTCAAATACCATTGTAATACTACGTTAAGAACAGGTTGTAACATTGCCACACTGTTATTTTGACTAACTTATTGCTTATCTTGGACATGACATCCACATCCCCACAAGGGAGTAAATAAGTATCTCATGTTTAACTATAAGAGATATAGAAAGATACATGTACATAATAACAGTGACATTTGTAGTATTCTTATTTGATATACAGGTGATAGTGTTAGACTTCCGTCCTATGATGAAGTTCCTATATTACCTAAAGGACCACCACCAGATTATAATCAAGTTTATCTTAATCCTGTTTTACCCATCAGATCTACATGTATTAATCAGAGGTAATGATAGCACTTTTTATTTGCCACTAACCCTTTAAAAAAACAAAGTAAGGTGTCACAAAACAATCTTTTATAGCATGTAAGTGTAAAAACAGAGAATACAACTACACAAATGAATTTGAAGCACAAAGAAAGTCATAGTAACCTGTGATATCATGATGTTAACTTTGATGACATATAAGGAATAAGCTAAAACTTTTCAGCCAACCCTCGTACATCTGTCCTACTACCAGAATTACTTGTGGATGCACTAGAGGCTACAGTTATCATCAAATTAGCATTGTTTATGGTCATGAGATGAAGAGGCAGGCATATATTCCAAGTTTTGCGATAATTACTGCCAGAGTTATGACTCTTTGTCACTTTAAGAAATCATGTGGACATTGACATGAAATTTCTACACTGTATCTATGTGAAGAAGCCTATAGAGTTGCAATTTCCGATAACTCGAACAGCTAGATTTATTATCTGATTACCTTTAGGCCTAGGTGCTTTGAATAATAAATGTTATCATCTGGAAAAACTAGAGACCAATCAAACTTTAATCATTTCTAAAAATTACTTAATGGGTTGTTACTCTTGATTAGTTTTTCGTGTCTTTTAAATGCCTCCATTACCTACAAAATAATAAATATATGACATGCAGCTTAGCTGCTGTGTGTGTACTTTTCGTTGTCAGACAACCTATCACCTTTTCCTTTGTTGACACGACGGATAGAGGAATATGTCATGGCACTTGTCGTGCACAAGTATTCACATAATCATCACAAAAATGGATGTGTCACTTAGCTAAAAATGTGAAATTCAGAAAGTGAAAGAATTTGTATTTGAACAAAATCCTAGCTGTGCCACTATATACATCTATTTTAAGAGTCTATATGTTATATATTTAATTTCAGACACACTGATGAAATAGAAGAGCCTGATTGGGAGATACCTGAAGGGATTCCTCCTCCTCCATATTCAGCATCAGAGGTTACAGCACAAGCACCACAATCATCATGAATTAGTAAATATTGCCAGTAATGTCCACAGTACATAGTATATTCTCAAAAACAAAGTTTCTGATTGTTGAATAGTGATGGTTGAAGAAGAGACTATTATTTTACTCATGAAGAGTTGTGAAAGTATTACTTTATATTTTTATGAACTTGTGGATTCACATAGACACAAGAATTTCTGATGAACAATTTTGTTAATCTTGTTACATGTCATAACTCATGATATTATGAATTAACCTTAGTTAAGTAGTGAAAAACATGGTGTAATTCACTGCTCCCTTTAAGCATGTGTGCATGCACACATTTTGCAATAAGTGCACAAAGAAAGTATGTGCAAAAATTCAGGCCATAAAAAATGGGTCATGGGTCACATGACACATTTAATTTGCTAAGACAGTTTTGTTAGTTATGAGAGAGAAACTGCGACAAAATTATCTTGAAACAATTTCGCGTTTACATTGTCAAAGGGAGAAAATCTGCATACTATAAGATTTTTGCAACCATTTTAATGTACTATTGAAAGTCAGAGTAAGCATTAGTTTCAAAGATATATGGTCAGTCAAATTCCACAGTAGATAATCTGTCATAGAATTTAAATTTATTATTTACTTTTGTGCAATGATTATAACTATGCTTAAAGATGCAATTTAAAAATGTATATGCATGTGTTATTATATTGATTAGTCAAGTTTTATCTATGCATATGTTCTATGTAGGCTAGTTAATTTTAGTTTTGAACAATAGTTACCCTATTTGATTTATGATTGAACCCATCAGTATATTATGTTTAATGTTTATAAATTATAGAAATAGAAAATATATCCATGCTTTTGCAGCTTTTAATTATATTACAAATGAGTATCTAGAAAAAATTATAAATAACATTACTATTAAGTAAGAATGGTGAATCTCCTCCATCCTTCCAGTCTTGTACCCATCCATTTCAAACTCCATTCTCATCCTCTAGCATCACAGGTTACTAGTTAATCTAGCCAAAAATCTCCAGACTTTCGAATTACATTATGATTGTGTATGCTAGATGGTCAAGACATGTTATTAATTTCAATGTTATTTGGCTACTATAAATAATGACTTCAAAACTAACTGCATATTAGCTGAATGAATTTCAGAGTTTGAAGTGAACCCATACAAGATTGCAGTTTTTCCTGATATATCTCTGTTTACAAAGTATTTCTTGATATAGCTGTTTGCAAAGTATTTTCCAATATATCTCTGTTTACAAAGTATTTCTTGATATAGCTGTTTGCAAAGTATTTTCCAATATATCTCTGTTTACAAAGTATTTCCCAATATATTTCTGTTTACAATGTATTTCCCAATATATCTCTTTGCAAAGTATTTACCAATATATCACGGTTTACATAGTATTTCCTGATATACAGATCAGTATTTATCTCAAATTTGTAAAACCGATTTGGTTAATGGGACATATATATACCAATCTTACTTTAACCATATTGTCTCAATATAATTTGGATTTGTAAATTATAGTATTATAGGCCTCCGGGCCTCATTCCTGAACACTGATTAAGGATTTCCCAGGGAAACAGAATTAAACTCTAGTAGGGGTAAAGATCACTTTAGCCCTAATCATCATTTGGGAATATGGTTTATAGGGCAACATTTCACTTGATAAAGACTAAAATGTCTTAGACTATCCAACATACATCTAGTTCAATTACCAAATGTCATTCAACAAGTCTAAATAGTTGACTTTACTTTTAGTGATTTTTTTATACGCCCACATTTTGATGTGGACACAATTTGCTTCTGGACCCTCTACAGATCACAATTTTTATTCGATTTTGACGAAACTTAAAATATAGGTCTATCTCCCAAAGATTTTGGTCATATATGGGACCATATCTCCATGGATTATGGCCCCTGATTGTACGAAAAATTACGTTTTTAGTTTGTGGACACCCTAGAGGTCACAATTTTCACCTGATTTTGATGAAACTTGAAAAGCTTGGTTCCTTTCGATATATGCGCATATCGGATCGTAATTTCCTGAATTATGGTCCTTGATTGTACGTAGAAAATTGTGTTTTTAGCTTGTGGTCCCTCGTACGCAAATAGGGTAAATATATGGTATATTATCAAGGTTGTGGATCCTCTAGAGGTAACAATTTTGATCCGAATTTGATGAAACTTGAAATGCATGTTTATAACCCAAAGATCTTGATTTTTGCTCATATCTGATCGTAACTTCCTCAATTATGTCCCTTGGATGTACGAAAAATCGCTTTTTGTTTAGCTTGTTCTCTATCCATCTCTTGCAAAATGTGAATGTGGGCGTATCCTTTCTGGCAGCCGCTGGTTTTCAATGTATTTTTTCTTAATTTTCCAAACTTAATGCTCACATCAGCTTTTGTTTAATATTTCATAACGTTTAAGTAGTGGGTGCAGCACCTTTTATGTTTTGTCTTCGTTTTAAAGTTGCTGAGTAACTGTTGTTCCTGAAATGAATTATTGTCCCAATGTTTTCTTCTTTGAACATCTCAATTCAGCTCTACCTCAAAATCTATATCATTTATTTTCATCCTTTTTCTTAAACATACATCTTCATCTAGATATATATTTCGTTTTGGGATTGTCGTCAATTTGTTTCTTAGTGTCAAAAACATTGTGTGACAAACGTATTTCTGTGTCTTGCATCGGGTGAAAAAATGTTTTTCCTTAATACTAGTCGAGAAACAGGAGTTGTTTTCTTTTACATATATTTACTTGGTAATAAAATATTGGACAGTTGTTGTTATATACATGCAGAGTACACTTTGTAAAACTTGTAAGACAAGTTTATTAGGTATCTGATCATATGTAGACAGGAACACATTCTCACTGATTCATTCCCTCTTGTTTTAAATTTATCCTGCATGCAGGAGGGGAAAAACTCGTACAATTCTTTTTCTCAGTTTTGGAAAATGCTCTTGAGAATTTTTTTATTATTATTATTATTAGAACTGTTATTAGTTATTATAGATAGTATATTTATTAGTAAAATTTGTACATATTATTATTGTCTTGTATATACATGTAGTTTAAATTGTTTTCAATCATTCCATACCGATTGTGCCTTTCTCTCTGAAGCATGTGTAGGTGTATAGAACATATTTTCTAGGTATAAATTCCCTGCAAAATGACTAACTCTTTATCAAAATAAATTGGTAATTCCTGGAAATTCTAATTTGTAAATTAATACACCTACTTGTACATTTATATTGACAATTTCCGACACTTCAATGAAATGAGGTAAAAATGTTTTGGTAACTTTTTCAGTGACACATCATTACAAGAAGTCAATATTATGTCAATGCATTTTAACAATGTATTTACATGTCTTAATTCAATATGCTACATATTTAATATCTTCGTTTATTGTGGCATTATAGTCCTATTTTAAATTTTGGTTGAATAATTCCCATTTAAGGTCAAATACATCACAAGAGTCACCTCCTTTACTTTTTATTCAGTATGGCCAAATCAATTTGATTTTGGGTTCTTTGGGATATTGACAATAAGCCTTGCGTTAGACAGTGAGCAATGTTGGATTTTTTTTCTGAAAATTTCAAAACATTAAAATTTGTAGTCAAGAATAGAGAAGCTCAAGCATATGTTTGGGGTTTTTTTTTTTTTTTTTTCAAAATATGATTTTTCTAGAAACAGAAAACAAAACTTTTGTAATTTATTCAAATAAGAACTAAAATCTAAATTGATATGGCTTAACCATGAAATCATCAATTGACAAACAGTCAAGTGGTAAAATGAGTTAAATTGATGAAACAATCATACTAGTTATACAATCTGATGTGCTATTTATTGTCAGTCTGCTGAGGTCATTTTATACACATTATACATGGGGAAAACCTATTGTTGTTTGTTGTTGATGTAATTAGTATTAGAGGGTTCCAAGAGGGGCATCATAGTTTGTGATAACACTTACTACTTACTTACTTGTCCACCGATGTAGAAATTGAGGTCTAATTATCAGAGATATTATTATAAATATTTATATTTTGACCTAAATGTTTTAAGATTATTTCGATACTTGTTCTATTTTATTCTGTATCAGTTTTCCCAAGTAGTGATTGTTAACTAGATAGTATTGGTTTCGAGTATGTGTCATATATAAATTAATGTTCTGTACTTTTTTCCAATCTTCTCTGTTGTTTGTGATAAACAATAATTATATAATGTGATAAATTTGTTTTTTCTGTGTTGATAATCAAAATTTGTTTATAATTGAATAAAATAAAAATTGCCATTATAACATTTTCTCTTATCTATTTCAATATCATTTGTCATATCCCCTTGTCTGTCCCACCGTCTTCATTAGCCCAGGTTAGGAGCAGAACACTAGGACGTTAAACTCCATTTCATTTCATTTCATTTGTCTGTCCCATCAACTTCTTTTAATCACTCTTGAGGTTGGGAGATTTTTTTTATAGAATTGCAAAGACTATTCAAATAGTCCAACATATGAACCATTGCAAAAGTGAAGTTGTAACAATTTTCCATTACTGCCCAAAGACAAGCTGGGAGTGTTTAATTACCCTGTAAGTGCATACATTCATGTTTAGAATCAATAAACTACATATAGCACAGACTTATGGAAGAAGATTTTTCAGAGAGTATTCTACCAGCATTTTCAAGAAAGTACTTGCTCGGAAACATCGTCAAAATCAATATGTATTTGATCTTCCTAAATCCCTCTACCCCTGACCAGTATTTTCATTCATTTATTAAAGAGAACTCCTGATTAACATTTATTGCACATTTTTTACATGTTTATTTGATGTATAATTACAGAAGAAAATGACTGAATACTACTGTGAAACAAAACCATTATTTCTGTTGGCTAACTCTAACTGTCGTCTCAGATTGGCAGAAAACTCATCCATAGGAATATTGTTACCCCTGAAAAGTAAATGATGCACAATTAATGGGACACTTTCGTAATCACAGCCTAACAGTAAATGAAATTGTTTTATTAGTTATGTGATTTAAATACATATTACCATATTAGGCAGATGTCAAAGTTCAAGGTTTAGTGAAAATACAAAAAGAGGTTTGCCAGGTAGCAAAACAAAAGCCCACAGCAGCTAAGCTGTAATGGTTGTCACATGTTTTTCTGTTCTAGATAAATGGAGCATATATCAAGGACAACAACCCATGAATTATTTATCAAAATGCTAAAAATCTGATGAGCTTATCCTAGCACTAAAAAAAACAAGACATGCGCTGGTAATCAGCTAATATCTTTAGCTTTTGAGTTATCAAATATTGTTGAAAATCAAAGGGACTCATGGATATAAACATTGTGTATCATTTCAAAACAATTACATGCAAGGTTTAGCTACAACTCTGCAAGTAGTTATCGTAAAATGTTGAAAATAAACATATCTCTTCATTTGATGGACAAGCACTGTATAAATTGCAAATCAATTAATAAACCATCAACAAAATGTTTCAAAGTGATCAAGGGCCATAACTCTGCAAGTAATAGCCTGCTTTGTTTCATGAAAATAAATACTATGTATAAAAAGCAATTAAGCACGACGGACTGACAGATATGCCCATATTAAAATATGGGTGTATAGAAATCATACAGAATATTCAGTGACATTCAAGAAGAATGGAATACATACTGAATAAAGACGTCATCGTCAGGATATTGTGGGGGAAGTCTGTAAGCTGGTGGAGGAGGTAATGATTGCTGACTACTGTAATAAGCTGCTGAGTGACGATTTTTATGTCTGAAAGAATATAATAAATATTAATTATGTTTTGTACCAGTTAGTACATTATTTGCTTCTCTATTGTTCTGATTAGTCATATGACAAGAGCTTTGCGTTTAAATTTTTTTTCAACAGATTATGCAGAATTTGACTTGTTTAATACTTCATTTCATTATACGTCTTACTGTTTGATCGTAACCACAAATACTGGCTTTATTTATCACCCAAATTAGATCAGTCTACCAATAGTCATTTGAAATAAATCTATTAATTGTTGTAGTTTGAAGTTGTAGTGAACCCCATGTATTTTAAACACTCGATTCAAGTTGCATATCAGAAATCTGATCCTTTTCCTTTCTCTTCAGTCATTTCTATTTCCAGTGGAACAGTAGCCTTCACAGTAGATTTTCATTGATTATGGAACACAGAGAATGATAAATAATTTGAAATACCCTAAATGAACTGATAATGCTCACAACCATTGCTTTGATAACAGGGTTAACATACCTTTGTAATGTTCCTGGAGCAGAGTGACAGGAATCACGTGAGCGGAAACCATGTCTTGCTCTGTCAGTTCTATCAAGTGTCATAGTATTACCCTGGTCCTCTAATAGAGGTGTATCTCTAGTATATGACATTCGACGTAAAGCTCTAGATGCTCGTCTAATAGTATCATATCTCATCTGATCACTGTAAAATAATAATTAAATGAGTTATTTGTTATATTATTATGTTTACCGGTACAAAAGGCCATAGTGTATCAAACTTGACAATTACTCTATGATCTCATCTCGTCAAGGAAAAGATTGCTTTCAAAGACAATGACACGTTAGGTTTTAAAATATTTTCAAGCTAGGGTTTCGGATGATATCCAAAAGCCCATTTTGTCCAATCCTATATCTGCTTTAATATATATTAGCATATTAATTAAAAATATAGGTTTAAATAGTGATGTGGGTTGGATGGAAATAAGTAGGTAAATTATCTGTGAAACTTTTAAACTGTTTTGATTTCACAATGCCTATCAAAAATAACTTTAATCACAACTAATCTTTCTGAAAATTATTTCATGAACCTGTTATAATTACCACTATATAATTATTCATTGATTCAAACTGCAACATCTTGGGACTAAATATCTCAAAATTCTTAGATCAAAAGATAATATGTTGGGATGTCACATGATTTCAGGATCTCAAATATTTGAGATAATTTTGGTACTTTGAGATAATTTTGCTTGTACTTTGAGATAATTTTGCTTGTACTTTGAGATAATTTTGCTTGTACTTAGAGATAATGTTGCTTGTACTTTGAGATAATTTTGGCTTATTTTACAAGTTCATAGTTTGGTACTTACTCAAGGTCTTCTTTGGGCTTCCTAGAAAATAAAACACATTATTAAATAAAATTATAAAACTATATGCTTGAGGTAGAATGAAAAGGAATTGGGTTTTAACCTTGTCAACAATTCAGTTAAGTCATTTTGAAACTAACATATCATTGGTGGCTAGTAAAAGAGTTGCATCTTGCGTATTTTATGAAATTCACATCTTAAAGTTCAGAATTTTCTTGCAGACCTGTTCATCTAGTTGTCGTATTTCTATTGTAATGGAGTTTTAAAGATATTGTTTTATTTGTCATCATGTCAAAAAATCAGTTTGAAATAATGAAATGAAATTACAAACACTCTTTATGTTTTTACCTGCTTGATTTGGAGCAGCAGAAACAGATACCAAGTATAAATGTGAAGAGAAATAATATTGATGTTGGTATAACACAGAAATAAATAAACTCCATAAAGAAATCTCGACATCTTTCATCTCCACAATCTTTAGGTGGTGTATAACCATCTAACTTATAATACACTGGTGTTAATTCTACACCCTGCTCACTCATTTTCTATTCTTCTTAAAATTTCTGTTTAAAATGATTTTTTTATTAAATAATAACACTCATAACAATTTAATTCATGCTATAGATCTTATAGTCCTTAGGTGGTGTATAGTCAACAAACTAATATTACACTGGTGTTAATTCTACACAGCTCAGTGAAGTGAGGAAAGTACTGGCTTGCTAGCCTGGAGATCCCAGTATTGGTTGAGAATTTTAGGCGTGGTGCAGGACATAAGAATCTAGGAAAAATAGTCACAGGTAAAAAAGTCACAGTAAAAAAAAACACAGGTAAAAAAGTCACAACTTATATATATTGTATTGTAGAGTTAGTATATCTTTGATCTTTAAAGTTATTTGTCTTTTGAGTTAATTAGGTTTGGTTAATAGAGTGGTTACTCTACATAACCTTGCTGCAAACACTAGAATGTGCTAAAATGGAACATTAGAATTAACAAAGAGTATTGATGTGCTAGAATGTTGAATGAGCTAGAATGTGCTAAAATGTCTGATGTACTGATATGTCAAATGTGCTATAATGTATTGGTTTACCATCTCGTCTCACTGATAAATTGCAAAAGGTTCAGAACGTGGCAGCTCGACTCATTACCAGAAGTAATTATAATGATCATATCACCCCTGTTTTAATTCAACTTCACTGGTTACCCATTGTTTTTAGAATTCAATATAAGGTCATTCTTTTAACTTTTAAATGTTTAAATCATATGGCACCGTTGTATTTATCGTCTCTTTTAGATATATATTCCCCTACTCGTACATTGAGGTCTTCAAGTGATCATTATTCACTTGTCTGTAAAACAGCTAGACTGAAAACTTACGGTGAATGATCGTTCACAGTGCAGGCCCCTAAACTGTGGAATAAGCTTCCACTTACTCTCAGAAGTTCTACCTCTTTATCGAGTTATAAATCGCAATTGAAAACACTTTTATTTAAACAAGCTTTTGATTTATTGATTTATTTTTACTGTTTTAATTTTATACAATTATTATAGATTTTTAAACGTATGTTTTAATTTTTTTTATATATATAATGTATATTGTACAGCGCATATGAACACATTTTGTGAAAGCGTGCGCTATATAAATGATGATAATAATAATAATAATTAAAATGTCAGATGTGCTGATATGCCATATGTGCTAATATGTCAAATGTGCTATGATATCAAAATGTGCTGATTTCTAAAGACTAAAACAGTCTGGTTACATCTGTGTAATGAACATATGTGTAATGAAAGGTTAAATATGTATGTTATTGTTTATATTGTTATTGAATTTGAGATGTAATAAAAAACTGTGACTTTTTTTCCTGTGTTTTTTTTACCTAGGCAAATTTGTGACTTTTTTACTGTGACTTCTTTTCCTGTGACTTTTTTTCCGCGCACCGGACATAAAGTCTGGCAAGAAACAGTGTCATATAGTTGTTTCGATGGAAAGTGAAACAATTTACACACATTGGCCTGCACATAAAAAAAACCCCTTCAACAGCTGGAATTCGAAATAAGAGTACCAGTAGGTGTAAAATTTCCCTCATAGCATACTGCATGGATATACCCATCTTTATTAGTACTGTTGGTGCAGAACAGTCCGACATTAAATCCCCCTATTCATTTCATTAATTCTATACCCTGCTCTCTTGATCTGTAAAACTAAAAAAATGATCTTCATAAGAGTCCATTTTAAGTTCTTAAAAATAATACTGTTCAAGAAGATTTATGGGGCCTGGTGACAACTAATTTTGCAAGAACAAGATCCCATGGGGGAACAAAATCCCAATATATTCATATCCTTAGGAAGGGATCCGGATGTGGGTCTATCCAAGAAATTTTGAGCTGTGTGGAAAATGCCAGACTCGATTTGTAGCATATCTGAGTCACATATGTTTGACACTGAATGAGCAATATAATTATTTGGTGGCCTAAACGATATTATGCAATTGTCGAATCTCTATCTAGTTACGGTATTTCTAATCAAAGAAAAATCTCTTGTCTAGCGCCACAGTTTAATTAAATACATTGTTCTTTTCACATCATTTTAATTTTTTTATACTGGCCGTCATACCCTTCTATCCCAAAAACCTACCTTGAAATAGTTGAAAACAATTGCTGGCAGATAGAAGACAAATTTATTTGCAAGAAACAGTTATCAATTCCAGTCATAACCTAAATATTTGTCTAACTTTCATCAGCGGCGAATTTGAAGTTATTTAATTCATTCTTCATCTTAATCAACTGACATTCCAACGCAAACAACAAGTGCACTAATAACTTTTTATCAACTTAACAAAGTTCTTTAGTTAATGAACTAAATATAGTAACACTTCCGTCAAAATTCCTGGAGGTAGTCTTGTTTTGCCAGTGACAAATTCTCAATCCTGTTATTTGGATTTACCTCCCATTCATTCTTACTGACAAAAAAAATAAAAAATCACTACTGGCGTTTTCAAAATTCCCAAGTTAAAAAGCTAAACCATTAATTACTTTTCTAATGACGCTACGTTTTATGTGTGTATTGAGATATCACATACACAATACCAATGTGATTTCCATGTGTATTTACGAGAAAATACACGTTTTACAATGTAGATCAGTGTAATTTATATGTGTATTTACTGTTGAGTTATGAGAAAATACACATGTTTTAAACAGAAGACAAGTGTGATAAATGTGTATTTAGTGTTAGTTATGAGGAAATACACGTTTTAAATCGAAGACAAGTAGTGTGGTGTATGGGTGTACTTACTGTGAGTTATGAGGAAATACACGTTTTGCATCGAAGACAAGTGTGAATTATATGTGTATACACATCTACTTCAGTTCTGAGAAATTACACATTTTTTGAAACAGAAGACCAAGTGTGAATTATATTGCCTCTGTCCGACAAAACATCTGTCATAACTGATAACACCTATTCTCTGGTGTAAATATGCTGCCAACAGAAGCTTATTCTTGTGAAATAGGTCAGGGAGTTGACAGTTGACTACATTATAGTCCAGATCTGTGGGCTAGGACTTAATTTATAGGCAACCCACAAATTGTGTCTAAAGTCTAAGCATTGACAAACTCATTTTCATTATGTCTCCTTTGAATAACAATAATTTTCTGCATCTGACAATGGTGATCCTGTAACTATAAAGTTAATAGTTTCTGTCTTCGTGAGATGACTTCATAGTCACACAAGAAAATTTCAATGCAGTAATTCAGAATTATGATTTGTATTATTGTTGGTCAGAGAAGAAAAACAACCATAACACATTTAAAGAGGAAAATTTTATTTATAAAAACAAAATGAACTTGAATACAATATGGGAATCATTTCTAGAATTAAGTGAAGGATTGGGCGGTAGAGTGGGGGACTACATGGGGAACTATTTGCAACTTACAGAGTTATGCCTAATTTCTGTAATAAGTAAATCTGGTCAGCTTCTTTAGATTTTGTACAAAATAATAGTTCTAAATAAATCAACTTCTTTTCTTTTTTTTCAAAATCTCTATACAAGTAAATTCAAACATTTGACTGGAAGTACATTAGGCATAACTTGTAATTCAACTCTTAACCCCCTCTTTAATCAAACACAAATAGCACAACATTAATTAAAATAAAAACATAAATTAATTTAAAAATACAAACAATTAATGGACTAGGCAATTAACAATAAATTAAAATAAATCAACATATTTAAAATAAATTTAGGATTTTATTTGTATATTGGGATGATAAACATAATTTTAAAAACAAATGTATGATGATAAAATGAATTAAATATATTTAAATTAAGGTTCTAAATTTAACTTTTATAACATCTGTTCAGCTCAGCTAATCTAAAAATCATTTCATTTGGATTTGTTCAAGATTTTACTGTTAGAAAACCTAACTATTTTTATTCTTTGAATGTGTAAGCAAATTTTGTTATTTAAAGCAATAACAATTTGCAAATGTCTAGGGCACTCACTGATATTATAGAATATAATATGTAAAATGTCGGAAAAAGTATATTTGCCAAGCACCCGATTTAATGACAGTCAGTCTGAAATGATAAAAATAGTGAAATGCATGGTGACCTGAAGACACACCTGGCCAGAAAAATTTTAAACTGTCAATTTGGTGGACCAGTAAATGAATAATTCATTTATTGGCTTTCAAGTGTAATTTTGTGTTTCATTTAATCAGATTGATAGTACGGAATATAAGTTTTTTGGCAGGGCCACAATAAGTTACCAGTCTGTCAGGCTGTGAGAAATTTCAGCAAGTTTGAGACACTGGTGATGAAGTCACATAATGTAACATTGTTACCTGTTATAAGTCTTCAAGTAAATATTACAAACTGACATTACAATTTAAATAATTGGAATTGTGAATGCATGAATTGTTCAAAATAATATAGGAGAAAATATGTTTTAAAAGGGAATACGTCAGAAGATATAAAAGTTATATTTTAAAAATAATATTGAAAAAATAGAATTATTTAATAATACCTTTTATGGGTATTTTGTAGGAATGTTGTTTTTAAATTTAAAATCACAACACCATGTAAGTAAATAAGTCTTCAAGTAAATATTACAAACTGACATTATAATTTAAATAATTGGAATTGTGAATGCATGAATTGTTCAAAATAATATAGGAGAAAATATGTTTTAAAAGGGAATACGTCAGAAGATATAAAAGTTATATTTTAAAAATAATATTGAAAAAATAGAATTATTTAATAATACCTTTTATGGGTATTTTGTAGGAATGTTGTTTTTAAATTTAAAATCACAACACCATGTAAGTAAATAATATACCGGTATATATAAAATATTTTTCTTAAAAAAATCCTTTCCCCATGAAAATGGAAAAAAATCAAAAGTGATTGATAAATAATCTGATATGTCTATAGTGCAAATCTATAAAATTTAATAGTAGTAACTTTAGATTAAATGGGTAATCATTTGCATTGCTTCAAAAGAAGAAATCTATATCATTTAAGGTCTGAGGACAAAACTTGAAAGGAACCTTTTCGTATACAATTAATATACAGGACCCCAGATTGTCAACCTACTAGAAACAATTTATTAACACAATTGAGGTTAAATAATAGGGCTGACTGAATCTTCAACAAATATTAGTACCAGTTAAAAATCTAAACAATTAATAAAAGAATCTCTGAATGGCATTTAGTGATTAACATAATATAACACAACACAGTACTATGGAAAAATTGTATGCTTGATAACAACCAGTGAAATCTTTTTGAAACATTTGTATAGTGACTGTTATCCATAGATTAATATGGAAAACAATCCAAGGGAAGTTACTCATCCTAATGCTAGTAAATATTAAGCGTAAAATGTTAACATATAATGCTAATGTTAACAATTAACCAACACATTTATAGACAATAAATAAAAACAGTCAAAACTTGGTTTCAAAATAAGAAATAATGTTGGGAATTAAATAATTATTTCATGATATTCTGGATAGAAATTTTCTTTTTTATTTAAGTCAATGTAAAAAAAACAAAACAACAAACAATGTAGGACAAATAAACAACACTGTAAAGCATATTCCAAGAGTAGATAAAACACAAGGTTGGAAAAATCTGACCAATTATATTTAACCAAAACATATGTTGCTTTGCCATCATAACATTTTAGATTGTCTGTCTGTGATGTATTCAGAAATTTGTTTGTTTGGACAGCTAGACTACAATGTTTATAAATTCAACTTTTTAACATTATTTCTTATTTTACAAGTACTTAAAACTGGTGATTTTTTTTTATTCATTGTATTTTATATAAGGAATGTTGAGTCATCCTACTGCATTGTAAAATACAAGTAGGATTTTGATAATAATACAATCAACAGACTACTTTCAAATCTGAGCCTACATTAGTAAGTGCAGGAGGACTGCACTACACATAAAACAAAACCTATAAGACAAATACGTTGCGACATGACTATTTCACATTAACACCTTTCAGAATTCTAAATAGGAAGTGTCTGTCTCACAAATCAAATAAGTTAATGTTTCTATTCATAAATTAAAGGAGCTAAACCTCTAACTCAATATCATTTGAATATTCGAAATTAAAAACACAAACTAGAATTCAATATTGGTCCATTTCAATCAATATTGATGTTGTTATCTCATGGTGAAAATATAGGATCCTAATATCCTATATTTAAAACACGATGAACATTTTATAATCAGTGCACAACATCTTGTACTCTATTGTTTTGAGTGTCCTTTGTTATGAATAAAAAAAAACATGTCTATTTTAAGGTTCCAAAAACTAGAGCTATACGTCCTTTAAGCTTGCTATCAAAATTGTTACAATTAAAAATATTTCAAATACTTTATAACCTAGTTTTCACTGCTTATTTTTCACACAAAAATAAGCTTACACATATATATATATATACATATGATAGGCTTATTCATATTAAAAGCTCACATACATACATGCTAAGTTTCAAAGTTCAAGATTGAACAGAATTGATTCAATTTTATGAGTCTACAACTACAAGAGTGGGTGGTGTATAAAACTGACAAGGCAATTAAGAATATTTATTTCTCCACGATAAAAGGTTTAAGGCTTATTTTTTGCATATTTAGAATTCCTCAGGCATTTCAAATAGGGACGGAAATTTCATTTTGAAGGCTTTGCGTATAAAGTTTTTAACATGAAGTGCACATTAAATCCAAAATCAATTTACAAATAGTTGTTTTACTTATAAACAATCGACTTTGGTACCTAATAAATTAATTTGTTTAAATATAAAAGAAAAGTGCAGCTGTAAAACATTGTAGCGATCAAAAAACTTCTGTTAAATGTGACATCACTTTTAATCAGCAAACAAAGGTAAGATTCAAATCAATGCTCTTACCATACTCAAACATGACATTCTGATTTGAAGATAAGAGCCCCAATTCAAATTTAATTACACACATTGACCATTAATAAAACAACATTTAAATACACATGTATATGTAAGTTAAAAGGAATATACAATATTATATTGTACCAGCGGTTGTCATGCAAGATATGTCCACATTTTGCAAGAGATGTACAGAGAACAAGCTAAAAAAAATGTGATTTTTTGTACAATCAGGCGCCATAATCCAGGAAGTTATGGTCCAATTTGCACGAATATCCGGAAGAACCAAGATCTTTTGGATATGAACATATATTTTAGGTTTCATCAAGATCGGATAAAAATTGTGATAGAAGTCCACAACCTTGGTATTACATCCTTTTACTCTATTTGCGTACAAGTAGCAGCCATTTTGTTGGGCATCATTAGGGTGTAACAGTGGTATGTGTAAAGGTTTTTTTAAATCGGATAAAATTGTGACCAAGATCTTTGGGTTATAAACATACATTTCAAGTTTCATCAAAAACGTATGAAAATTGTGACCCCTAGAGCGTCCACAAGCTAAAAACATGATTTCCCATACAGTCAGGGGCCATAATCCATGAAGTTACGGACCGATACATGCCAATTTACAAAGAGACCAAGATCTTTGGGAGATATACAATTTTGACCTGTAGAGTGTCCACAGGGGCGACGACAATATATGTCCACATGAAAATGTGGGCATATAAAAAAACAGACAACCAATGACAAAGGAACAAAACCTCTTTGATTTAGGTGAAAATAACTTGCAGATTCGATCTGATGTGTTACTTCCATTAGTGATCAGGCATCTATACCATTAAATTTTCATTTCAGTATAGTAACTGAAGATTGATCTGTTTGTTAAAAGTTTCTTTTTTTGCCATTTTGAATCTTGGTTAAAGCTCATCATTAACACAATCAGAGACATAAAATTTAAAATGTAGATTAAATCAATACACAAGTCAAAATTCTATGGAATACAATTACTGCTTATTACTGAGCAATGTTTTGACTAGGATTCTCTAGTCATTATTAGATCAACTAAATCAAAACTTTCATTTTACATCCAAGTCAAAGAGGGTGTGTCCTTTCAAGAACATAATCATACAGTGTATATATATATTTACATACATAAACATAACAAATTAACATAATTTATATGTACTTGTTCATTTACTGTAACAGAAAACTGCAAGTGGTTTTGGTCAGAGGTCATAATTTACATGCATGGGGGCAGAATATTTTTTTCTCTTTCATGCCTTTTAGAACTACATGTCTTTTATATTTACTGCCAGTCGGGGTTAGTATTTCTAAATAAAATGTAAGTTAGTCAAGGATTTCTATGAGTTACTAAATATAGATCAGTTTGTAGAAAGAAATGTGATATCGACTGGATTTTATATCAAAGTTGTACCATATAGTTTGGAAAAATTTCAGTTGAATTTTGTTTTTATTTTCATAATAGGATAAACTAATTTTTTCAAATATATCCTTTGTATGACCCATGAGGGCTACCCATTATCTAAAATTAAAATCGAATAGAAGTCTACACTGTTTGCAATATTTGAAAATTCGAAATATTTGATCATTAATGAAAAGTTTTCTGGAAAATAATGATGTCACAAAGTACTTGATGTCATATATTTAGTAACTCATTTGTTCATTGGTATGCATTTTGGGGTAGGTTTTTAAAATTTAGTTAAAATAATCTGACATCAGTAAAGTCAATTACAATTTAAATGTTGAAATCAAATTAAATAGAGGTCAGATATTTTTATTATTTGGAAGAAGGAATCATAATCTTATCAATGATTTAAAAATATTTATATTTTCATTTCATATAATTCTTACAAAATTTTCAGCAAACAGTTTGTCAATGTCTACCGTTAGCTTTTTGTTTTTGCAACAGAATTAAAGGAGCTAGATCTGATTAGCGTTGCCAATTGGATTTATCTTGGGAAAACAATAAAGATTCCAATTGGATTATTCGTGGGAAAGAAATAAAGACTATGTGGAGATCCATTAATAGAGAATCATTCCATTGTCTATCTCTTTTTCTCCAGCATGTGAATAACTACACCAACATTTCTGCCCAGACACACATAATAAAATAATATTGATGAAAAACCCTCCGACAGCGCCCACCACGCAATAAAATGATTGGTCAAACTGTGTTTTATCTTTGGATGAGAAACCAGCAAGAATGTCTTCTTCTGGTAAAAGGTTGACTTGTAAATTGTTGACAAACAAACCAACATATAGTAGCACAGCCAACAAACTGAAGTTTACTGAAAATATATAACAAAACTACATGACAAGGGATTGTAGAAAAATCAAATTTGACAATAAATAAGCATGTAGCCTGTTGAATACAACTGGTTACATTAGTTTCCTGAATCAATTCTTTCTTCAACCATTATTTCATGAACATAGAAGTACCAGTAGAACAGGGGTCACCAAACTTTTTTCATAGTGGGTCAGATATAACTGAAAGAATGCAGAGTGCTGGCCGGATAAATATTTTGAGTCTGGATCAGTGATGGGATATCAAAATTCAGACTCTGGATTAACATATAAATATGAATTGACTACCTATCAATTCTTTCATGTAGCAATTTGTGCTCTACTGTAACAGTAATGAAATGACAATAGCTTTAACATCCTACTTTTGTGTACTGACTGGGCTAATGAAGACAGGGATATGCCATGAGGGAAATTTGGCCGGACAGCGATGCTATGGCAATCTGTTACTTTGAAATCCAACTGTCAAAGGTTCTTTTACATGAACACCACTGTACACAAGACCACATTTTTTTCTCCCCATTCCAACACCTAAACACTGTTCCTTGTCAGGTCCAACGTCAAGCACCACTGACAAGGGGAAACTATGCTGGAAAATCCCGAGGAAATTTCTCGGCCAACCCTGGGAGCGAGCCAGCATCTTACTTACCACGGCTCCCTACTGTTACAGTAGTAGCCTAAGAATTATAATTCAGACAGTGTATTTACTTACATGCCAGTCCATTCCAGAGATATAGTCCCATTTCTCCTGTCACTGTTTCTATTGGTTTACCAAATACATTATATACAGTAAATCCAATAGCCACCATACCCCAAACTATTCCTAGAGACAACATCACAATCGTTGACACCCATAATCCAAAATTAAACAATCCTAGATCATTCAATTCTTTCACTGCAACACACAAAAATATACATTGAATAATAGCTGAGCATTTTAAAAAAAAACACACTTAAAACTCTATTTACATTGGATCTTAATTATGAAATAAAGGCCATGTGGGATAATATGATAAAAGTTACTACTAAAAAAAGCATGTGCATTACCAAATATTAATCTATCCCAAATCTGTACTCAATCAATACTGTGGACCTGTTCTGTTTGGACCTATTTACAGTACTGAGGATTTACAGGTACAGTTAAAGGTCCAGACTGTTTCATTATTGTAGTGTAAACAGGGTTTTCGTGGTATACAAATGATAAAGCAACCAGATTTTGGCAGGTGTTATTTGGTAGCGTTTTTACAAAAGAGGGGCATCTCTTCATAATATAATTCTGAAACATGGTGAAGAGGTAAAATGGGCCGATTATCCCTGGTTTATTTTCCTGACAGGTTCCCTGATTGTTCGATGGCCAAAACGGATCACCAGTTGGGTCAGGGCAGGTAAAAAGATCTGCATTATGATGACACCATCTAAATTGTATTGCCAATTCTAAATCTTTTAACAATCATCCATGTTTTCAGGTTCGCTAAGTCTGATAATCTTTACAATAAGTATTACATACAGTGAAAGATAAAGTGTGATACACATCCTGACTACATCAAGTAAATTATTTATCAATAAATGTCAGGTATTGATTGATTTTTATCGTAACAAACATCAGGTATATATAAATAATGATGCTTCCTACACAAAACAAACATTGAAAAATATGAAATGAAGCACAGGTTGGGCAGAATAGCTGATATAAGGCCTTTCTCATATTCGATGAAATAAAATTCTTAAAATTTAATCGCAGCCATGTGAGCCATTTTGAATTCTAATTGTGTTGTTACCAAAGTTATCTAGATTTACAATTATTATGTTGCTTTAATTAAATGTAAGAATAGCTTGAGTATGGAAATAGGATATGAAATATTATTACATGCATCAATATAAATTGAATCCAAGGTTAGCTAAAATACCATGTCAGTCTAGGTTTTGAAATAAGATATGAAATGAATTGGGGTTTAACGTCCTACTGTTCTGCTCCTAAACTGGGCTAATGAAGACAGGCATATGACATACAGTGTGCTATGAGGGAAATTTTACTCGGGCAGCGGCGCTACAGCCTACTCTTATATCGAATTCCAACTGCCAAGGGATCTTTTACGTGCACGCCAATGTGTACATGGGACCTCGATTTTTCGTCTTATTCGATTGACTAGACAGCTCTAGGTTTTGAAATAAGATATGAAATGTTATTGATATAGATTGAATTGTACTAAAATACAGTTCATAAGATATGAAATGAAATGGGGTTTAACGTCTTACTTCATAAGATATGAAATGTTAGATTGAATCATAGCTAAATTACTATGTCTGATTATATTTAAGGAAAATTTTATCCACACCCTGATAACATTGTCATTCAATATGTTACATTTACATAGTCGATGGTCTATAACTAACCAAACATATCAAATTTACATATTTGCAAATCTATAATCAGATAGCTTGTGATGTACCATGTTATTCATAAATTATTCAAATCAAGGAAGGTATATGTAACATGTCATCGCAACATTATTTGAAATTTAAGTAAAATTTCAATTGAGCCCACTCAGCCAAGACAGCTAGATGAATAACAACCATGACAATTTAAGGCACCTGTACATAGGATCATTTCTTTCCAAAGCGCATAAGCTTTCCAGATATTATCGCTAGCATGCACAATACAACCATTTGAAGCATTTAAGCTATGTCTTTATTTTTCCTGATCTAGAAAAAACAATAACATGCACATGTTATTCAATGTGCCAAACCCTAAAGCCCTTATGTTACCAAGATGGCAATAACTAAACCAACAATATTAGATTTAGGATATGATAATAATGCAGTTAGCATTAAAGGATATATTTTTGTGTGAAAAACCAACCCTATTTTATTGTGAAATCCGAAAAGGCTGCAATGATAGCTCAAGAAATATTTCTAACAACTGGTTTTTATTTCAAGATACAGCTACATACAGACACAGTTACATGCCTTTATGAATAATCCAATCAGGTTTGCAAAAATTCCAATGTGATCTACAATATAAAAATCTGTCAAGTACATTCCTGCATTACAGTCTTAAGAAATTGTGAAATGACGCTGGACCAATAGATGTTGATAAAGGTGATGACAAGATATGTCCACATTCAACTAAAGTAGAATTAGTATTGATACATTAAATTCTGGTTAAAAGGTCATCACAATGTCAAAAAGCTTAAGACTTTTCCTTTGCCAATAGTCAAAGAACAGAATACATGTACGATTAACTTTTATACTTTAATGCAACATTTGACAATGTCGAGTCAAGAAAATGTCTTTCTTTTACTTGTTTGTGTAAATATTTGGCTGTTTGTTTCTGTCTATGTTGCACATTGTAAGGTGAAAAGATATAACAGTTGTATTTTCACTGTATAATAACATTGATTAAAACAAGGCATATTTATATGATGATTTGAATTGACATTATGTGATAAAGATATAATATAACATAACATAACTTGTCATATTAAATTAAGTGAATATCCTTAAGATTAAAGATGTAATTTACAAAACATTGTAATAAGAAAATGAAATAAAAAAACGTATAAAATATGAAATAAATACATAGAGGACAAAGTGATAAGTATTTTGTTTTATTTGCATTTGAGGAACAGTTATTTCTGACTATTTTCATTGAGATATTGCTGTTGGCCACAATTTCAGTCTTTTCATTGATTAGCAATTTTTTCTCAACAAAGGCTTGTTTTGTGATAAAATATAATCATGATTTCAAACAGTTTGCACTAACAGGATGCCTGAGATTCTGCCAGTAATACAAAATCAAATCTTGACAATTAAACCCACCTCTGAAGAATAGTGACAGTCTAGTGGTAAAGTGTAAAATTAAAAAAATGAAGTATTAACAGTAAAGTCTGACTACAGACAATCTACAGATTTCCATCACCACAATTTAAGATATCTGCAGGAATAAAAGCAAGCAAAGCAAATGACGTAAATGAAGCTAAGAAAATGAAAAGAAGAAAATGAAACCTGATGAAGAGTTTTTATATCTTGCAATTGCTGTATCCAATATTTTATTTTGAGTTTTTGTGGATGATTCGTTACAAAAGATACAGGAACCAAATCCAGCATCACACACAACTAAATTAAAATAAATACAAGGAAAGAAAGTTATACAGGTAAAATAAAAGATTATGGAAATATAGATAATAGAAAATAAAATTAAAAGACATGTTAATATACAATCTCAAATCAGATAATATGGGATATATAACAGAATATATTTCAAATAAACATAATGTAGAAAGATAAGTAAACACTGCAAAATGTTAGAATGAGATCTACACACCCATAACTAAGCTAAGATTTGTTGGGAGTGGAAAACATAATATTTTAATATTGTAGCATGTAAAAGGCTGGGAAGTTGTGAGAAGGACTCAATGAGTTTGTAAAGTCAATTGTCTGCATATACTTTCATTTGTCCCGTTATCTATACTGAAATTTATAATCTTTCTTGGACTCTTGAGGTCTAATTTCAAGCAAAGCTTTTAATGAAGGCCTTAAAGGAGACAAGTCGCTAACTCAATATCATCCACAGTCTTCAACATTGAAGACACAACTTATTGGTCAATTTAAATCAACATTAATGTTGTTATCTTACCGTGAAAAGATGGAATTCTGATATCCAATATTTAAGACAAAATGAACATTTTACAATTGACACACAAATCGTGTGCCAGTATTTGTAATGAAGTGACTCAATGAATGAGGCTAAGCATATCCCACAGGAGAATACTACCGGTGTAGACTGGAATAACCAGACACCAAAGACTTGCCATTCAATTTGGACTCTTCGGGTATTTCAACGATCATAACTGATTAGAAATTACAGTAAAAATAGAAACGATAGAATGTAAATCAGTTTATATACATTCATATTACATTATTATATGCATTGCGACGCATTTATGTCCATTTCTAGGTGCCAAAGAATACAGATTTAGCTCCTTTAATAGCCAATCGGGTAAAGGGTATAAAGTGCAGTGAAGATTATGCTTAGTAAATCTAAATATATCACTATATGTAGTAATCTAAAATAGCTTAATATATCTTTTTAATACCACTATTCAGTACTGATAAGTGCTTCTTGACCTACAACGACAGGGTCTTAATCCAGGGTTTCCCGAATATCTACAAAAATATAATGTTCCTGAAAAACTCAATTTTTAATGGCAATCTCACATCTTAACATGAGACAGGGAAAATTCTTTCTTTCACATGATAGTTGATAATGTCAGTGTACACCTTACAATGTGCCTTCTTCAAATTCAAACAAAGTACATGTACGGTAGATATACATCACTTTTTTTTTTTATTCGTCTGACATGTATCATTAGTTACACAAACTTGTCAGTACCTTCCTTTCTCCCTATCTATCTACAGAAAACTCCTCGATTCTCAAACAAACTTCTTAACTCTATGGTTTTTTTTCCTGGTAGAAAGTCACATGTCAAAAACCTCCAGAGCTAGAGAGTGACAGAGCGAGAGAGAAATGGGTTTAACATCCACTTCATGCAAACTAAGTCATTTTGGGACATTATGGTTCAATCTTATTTCAATAATTTGCTTGCGCATAGGGGTCCTTAGCAATGGGAGGAAACTGGAGGACCCTGAGAAAAACACATACAGTTCGACAGGTGTACAAGCTGCCACTTTACTCAATGACAGACCTTCTGATCTACTCCTTCCCTACGAGACAAAATCAGAGAACCTGGGAAAATAATGGCAGAGAGAGAGAAATGGGGTTTAACACCCACTAGACACAAACAAGGTCATTTCGGGACTAACACATGGTTCAATTTTATTTCAATAATTTGCTTGCTTGTAGGGGTCTTCAGCAGTGGGAGGAAACCTGAGGACCTGGACAGGCGATCCTACTCCTTGTCATGTACAATTGGGGATCGAAACCACGCCAGTTGACTCAATGGCAGCGACAGCGCGCATGTGCTAACTATTCGGTCATCCCCCTGCCCTTGCCGTAAAAATATTACAAACTTTAAAAACTTAACCAGGCAACCGTACTCCTTGTCAGGTAATATCACAGAATTAAATAGATGACAGGCCACTGTTCATACAATTTTTTGCCCAATCAATGTGGAATTATTGTAAATTTATCCCCATCTATCAAACAACATACTAAATCAATATGTATTATATTTACATGACATAAAAGATTAATCAGTTATTGGTATGATTATAATGTTTCTATTATTATATTTCTATTGCTTCTTGTATGAGTTTTTATCTCTTGCTACTGCCACAATAAATCAGACTAACATCATTTACTGTTCTAAAGTCATATAAAATATAGTACACCATGTGTCCATTGATATTCTCGTGGGTTTTCTCCGGTTTCACCCCACTGCTAAAGATTCCAACGTGCAAGCAAATTATTGAAATAAAATTGAACCATACGTTAGTCCCAAAATGACCTAGTTTGTGTTAAGAAAATGTTAAACCCCATTCTTTTTCTCTCCCATTTATATTTTAATTAAGAAGATCAGAACCAAGCTATATTGCTATATTGACATCTAATTAATTAACGCTAATATATCAGCAAATTTTACATAAATAATACGTCATCATTCTAGAATAAAATAATAGGGTTTTTACAAATCGATTCAATTGTAATTGGATTCTCATTGATTAGTAGCTATGTATTAAGGATCGCAACTAGAATATTATTTGTCACAGAGCAGCTTAATGAACATGTAAGTACTACATACGTATAATCAGACATATATGTGGGCATAGTCTTAATCTTTCTTAAAGCCCGGCATACATCATCACTTGCACGTAGATTGACTGCAACCGATCAGTTGTGTTACTTTCAGTTGCTGTGTCGATGTACGCTGTGTTTTATGAATCTCTGGGAATCAATTTCAAGCCTTCATTAATGACAAACAGGGCCATATAGAAGGAAATCTTAATAAATAAATTTAGAATCAATTAAAACTTTTCAATATCTCCATTTTTGCATTACGAAGGGAGCAATGAATCATTTTATTATATGATATTGAAACAGTTACTCCTCACTGCCACTGGGTTCGCTCCAAGTGTTACCAGGAAAGTTCCTCAGGACTTTCCAGCATGGTTTCTCATTGTCAGTGGTGTAGGATGTACATTATCAAATCAGAGAATGTACATTATACTTGTAATAGGGTATACATTCTATAAAACTCTAAACAGTGTCTTTTTACACAACCAGGACATCATTCTATATTTACATAGAGATGAATGTGGATTTAAAACAATAAACAAACAAAACATTGCATCTACCTGACCTTAAAATTTATGGAAAAATTTTATGTTATTTAGACAATAAGCCTTAGCTTAATATAGTGTTTTGTACCTAAACATAGAGATTCTAGGAAATCTTTTTATCAGCAGATTGCATCATATGACTTGGTTTAAAAATTCTAGTCTATTAAAAAATTCTCATTGTTCGGAAAACTAAAAACATGGCATATTTTTCTTTGTTCCAGAAATTGAGTGTCATTTGACATTATTTTTTTCCATATTACTGGGTTTTTTTTTATATATATATATATACAACCCTTTTATTTTGCGATACAATCCATCACGACGTCACCCCCCTCTACTTCTAGATATACTCCACAGCGACCACAACCTGAACCCCTTCTATTTCTAGATGTACTCCACCTTGACCACCATCCCTACTCCTCCTAATTCTGGATATTTTGTTGATTAATCCTGTCAAACTGCCCCATGTGCCATGTAATTAGTCTTGGATTTGGGGCATGAGTTTTAGTCCATTCTTTATCCTTATGGTATGCGATGAAACTTTTTGGATCATTTCAATGCTTAATTATCCTTCTATATCAGCATACAGTCTAAATACATTTATGGCACGGGGGAGCAATTTTGAAATGGTAGCTTTCGTAGACGGAAATTGAAATTGTTTCAGAAGAAATTTTAAGCCAATATGTTGCTAATTTTGGTTCAAATATTTTGGTTCAAATATTTTATTTTTAGCACAAGTAAGCTAGATAACCATGGGTACATAAATATGTCTCATAAACTACCAAACAACACATAAAAAATTCATACATACAATGTATGCTACATTCTATGATTCCACATAAAATTTTGGGGACAGTACCGGTAGTAATAGAAATTCTGCAGATCGTTTACAAAATGTAGGTCAAACATGACAAGGAAACAGTTACTCTTTTTGGGAGCATTCAAAGAATTTTTTTATCTTTTTTTAGCCAGAGTGACAAGTAAATAAACAGATTAACAAGATCAGAACATACCATTGATTAGTCTCTTCTGGACATAAGATAGGCAAGATTATCCAGTAAATACCTGCAGTCACGTTATATTGACATTTATCACCCTGATCAATAGCCTAGAATAATAGGACAGTCGTGTGAGTGAACAACCAATGGTGGGAAATTTTTTCTTGAAATGTACACTGTTTGAGAAGGCTATTAAAATGTTCTTGACTACAGACAACTGTGTATAAATGAATACTACTACATGTATACGGTATCAAGAGTTTTCACACAATAGGCCTACATAAAATGTGCATATACACATATTAATATTTAAACACAATATTTGCCTAGTAATTTATTGTATTAAACTTTCAATGTATGATGATGACATAAAATTTACCACACATATCTATTGCCAACTTTCCCATTTTGGGTTTAGCGATTTTAATTTTTAAATTCAATCAGTAACAAGTTATAATGTGCAAGATAAATACAAGACATATAATAACATGGTAATATAGAAAAAAGGTAATTAATTACACAAAATATTCTTTTAAAAATATCTAATTACACAGTATCATTCTTCTTTATTTATAACATGTGGATCAGGGTATACAAGTGCTCTACATGTACTTTGTTCAGGGGGGATTGCTTCGAGTTATACCTTAATAATTTAAAAATTTCATATTTCCATTTATCTAAAATTGTCTTGTTTCCAACAAACAAATCCAATTCTGTCTTTGACACAGTTCTCAAAAATTCAAGGTATTGATCTTTATTCAGTAATTTATTTTTAATTTTACACTCATAGAAATAATGCAAGTATGCAAGATTTCTACATGTTACATTCTTTTGGCCTCAAATCTTATATAAATTATTCATTAAACATTTATTCACGATAAGCCCATAATTAACTCTCTAGATCATTAGATGGTTGTGATTTTGAATAGATTGAAACTTGATCACCATTTAATAATTCAATTTAACAATGGACAATCAAGACTTTGTTTATTATAGTAACAACGGTGATAATGAAAATCAAGACTATGCTAATCTTTAAATACCTATTTTTAAACTATTATAGCAACAATTGTCAGCTCTCTATCTAAATCTTACATAATGCATCTTTAATTGGTTTTGCTGATACATGTACAGTAGACATTTTCTTTTAAATAACATAAAGTTTAGACAAATAAATAAAATTTACAATGGAAGAATTGTCAATGTTTTCTCTATAGAAGGCTGGCATGTGAAAGTTGTTGTACTATACATGTATGTGTATAAATCTCAATTTTAACAATAATGAAGGACATGAAAGCCCATTTCTTCCCATTTGGAGGTCATTTCATAAAAAGGTCATATCTATCTTGCGATTATAAATCAATTGGAAAAGGACTTTATGTAAACAAAAGTAAATTTATAACATGTACATTATCAAGACTAATATACAACATTATCCCCATTTATTTACAGTCTGTATGGTTGACATGACATATTGAAATTTTATTGCATATATTATACACAGTTTCGCTACTGTAGACCAAACTTCTACTTAGTTGCATAGGAATCATTAATCCAAATGTTTTACATGGTATAAAATAAATTAAAAAAATATTATTCAAGTTTCATTTTTGAAACTTTTAAAAGAGGTACTGGGATTGCCTTTTCGAATAATTTGAGACAAATCTACTAGGCAATTGCTGAGGTACATGTCCAAAACTTTAACAGTTTTAGTGGTTTCCATGGAATTCGACACACATTGTGAAAAACATATTATTCTAAGGGTTTGGATTTTAGTTACAGTAAGTTTAAGTAGGCGAGTATAAAGAAAGTTTGAATATATTATTATTCAAAATCAATTACGTTTATTCTTAATTTTCAAGATGCATGATACCTGATAGACAGATCAATATGATTTAATAGTTACTGTGCAAAATAAAAAAGATTAGTCCTATAAAATCATTGAACTGTGTAATCCATGTGTATTCCCTATCAACTCATGGTGAATATACATATAACCAATGTTTTATAATACACAATGTTCATACATGTAAGTGTTTTTTTTATGATGCTCAGTATAGATGGGAAATATACCTAGGGCAGACAAGGGTCTCTTTTCGCCTGATTGCGCCGTTTTTCAAAATCGCTACAAAATAACCATCTGTGTGCCCGTTGACAGCGACGAAAATTCTGCTCAGGGAACCATTTGCTAGATCAATCGCCCATATCTAGCATGTTAGATATTTTGAACCGAATATCTTACGACGGCGATCGTGTTGCGAAAGGTGTAACAATGACAGAAATGGTTGGTAAACTCGCTATGACCAGTAAGTGGTCAAGAATTGCCGATGTGTGTCACCGTCATAGGCCTATCAATCGATCAAATTTACTTCTAAATGGGTTCAATTGTAATTTGGTTTGGATCTGGATTTGAAAATAGGGGGTGGGAGTGGGAGTGGAGGTGGTGGTGGATATGACATGAGCATATGATGGGCCTCTTGAACAGCTTTGAAAAATGAGAGTTCTGGAAGGTAATTTTAATATTTTGGTAATTTTCAGTGTATGGGCTTCTTGATGAAATTGAAAAACTTTCATTTAATTTTTGCAACTGTTGACCTTTTTTTTGTGCAGGGTCATACCATTTCTCATTGAATTCTTTGGCAATGTTCTTTCATTTTTCAGGAGTGTCTGGTATCTGAAAGTATAAATTAACAAATTATATTTAATTTAAGGTCTCTGATGATCAACATGATGACAGGTCTGATGACAATGAAAGTTTTCTACTTCATGATGAACAAATTCGTTCTCCACTGCCACAACCGAGAAGCAACTTGAGATGAATGCCAAACTCCTGCGGTAAAAATCAAAAGTAGTTAAAAAAGAAAGGAAGAAAAAGCAGCTGTGGTTCTTGATTGTCTTTGCTAGTTTTTGGAGAATGAAATGAAATAAGATATACAACAATCAAGTAAATCTTGTGAACAGTGAGAAGCAGATATATTTGGTGCACTTATACTAGCACAGTCCTTCAAAAAGTTTGACAACCAAATAGCTATACTAAAACACCATTTTCAAAATTTGATATTTAAAGCTGAAATGAATGAACTCCAAAATTATCAGATTACTCCTGTTCCACTTCAAAGTTTCCAAATTCAAAATAAAAACATGCGCCAACCCCCACCCCATTCTCCTAAAATTGGATGAAAGCAACCATTAAAAATGAACCTCGTGAGATAGCACTAATCATGGATTTACCCGAAGGCTGTATTTCACATAAGAACATGATTGTAGACTCCAAGAAACAGACATATCTAGAGATAGCCATTTGTACTGCTTAAAATGGAGAAATAAATTGTGCTTTTTATTTTATTTCTTTGTGGGTGGACAAATGAATCCTCGTTATTCAAAATAGACCTTCATTCAAAATATCATTTTATCTCATTTGCCAGTCAATTCTGACTTACCAGTAGTTAGGTGAGACCTGTACATATTGGTGTCTTCATTTTCCAGCTCCTCTGTTTAAATTTGAAAAGACCCCTTGTCATTTTCTTGACATTATCCAACTCCTGCACCACAACTTTCGATTTGTCCACAGAGCTCTTCTACATATTCTGCGTTTTAGGAGTAAATGAATAGCAGCTACCACATCAATCTTATGTTTTCGGCTATTTACCATTTTGTACAAGTCACATGGTCGACGTAATCTACTCGCAGATCAAGCAAAATAATACGCTTGTTACAGAAGTCTCCAGCGTATTCCATATACACGCCCATCACAGAAAATACATATAACCCATGTTTTATAATAAACAATGTTCTGAAGTTAATTTTTTGTTATTAAGTTCAGTATGTTCAGTGAATTGCCTGCAGGTCATACATAAGATATGTGCATTAATTAAAACCCCACACAGTTACATGTATGTTTGCAAGAATCTGGTATAATCAGTGTCTTCAAGTTCCCTACTAAATATTATTTACTAGTACTAATTAGTCTAAAGTGTCCAACTCCTTCCTAGCAATGAGAACATCACTAAAAGCATTTTGTTTATTAATGCTGGTAGCATCTTTAAAATAAGATAATATCATATTATGACTAATGAAACATAACACTTTGATTTAAAAGAGATGATTTGTACCCATGTCAGGTAGGATTGTACGCTTAATTGTAGTTGGGTGTGGCAGAAATGTAATAAATAACAATAATCAATCGTTGTTTTGAAGAAAAACCTGATATTGAATGCGACTATAGATAACAGTAGCTGATGCTAGCTGGACTTATATAGTATCATTTCTACTCTCGAGACACAGCAGGGTTGAGAGTTGTGGTCAACTTCTTCCCTGATCAGAAAGATATGGACCTGGTTTTTTTTTTGTCTTTCCTATCCTCCAAACACCTGACAAGAAACAGAGCCTGATCTTTCAAGACTCTCATCTGGCTATCAGCCCTAAGAATTGACAGGAAGAAGTCTTGGGATTAGGTAGATATTTTGTACATTGTACTTATGCACCTGAAGCAGCGGGTTGTCTACCAAAACCAACCACTTCAACCTAGTTGTTTTGTCCCACTGATAAAAAAAATGGTATCTGAAAAAAGTCTCTTTTGAGATCTGATATCAGTTTTTTTATCACCTGTCTGAGTACTGAATAACTAACACATAACTAGGAATTATGTTAAGGTTACTATAACTATAATAATAAAGTATTATGTTCTCTTCCGGGGATGTAGACCAGAGTTACTATGTACATGTATTGAACAAGAATATTCTTTTCTTAATTATGTGCATACACTCTGTTTCAGTTTGTAAATTTCTGCCTCCAAGAAAGTTGATATCTTTGCCCGAAGGAGAGTTTCTAAGCAAAATATACTATATTCTGATTCTATTCCAATTCTATACTGTCACAATGTAGAAAGATAACATGACAAAATTAGCTAGCTAAGCTAGATTTCGTTTAAAAAATAGGCCTACTCACCCCACAAATCTCTGGATCTGAGCCCAAAACCATAATCTAATGATCTATGCCCTTTAAATAACCCTAATGTAATAACTCCCGTGAATTTTGTTGTGGTTTCGCCCGACACATTTGCTGTGCGGTTTTTCACTGGGTGTGAAATAATCCAATGTTCAGTCGCAAAGCCCACAACCATTAAAATCACGCTGGCTAGTGTCAATAAAAATATTAAAGTTAAATACACTTTCTTGTGGTCATTCATGATTGTATATTACTAGCAAAATCTAAGGGTTACTTTGAAATATCACATAATAAACTGAGAAACTTCACAATATCAGACGAAAGTCGACATTTTCTTATCTGAAATGAGCACCTGCCGTTCAGTATACAAGTCTCGATCTTCCAGGTAATATGTACCGTTAACTTTACCGTAATAAATTTACTAGAAGGGCTTGCTAAATCGCACCTACCCGCCTGCTGCGGAAGAATCAATTTTACGAAAATAATTTTATTTCTTAAAACGAGAATGTAATAAAATTACCACGTTAGATAATACTATTAATTTGAAGGTGTGTGTCTATAAATTAGTCTTCGTTTATTCTCCCGCCGTTAGTTTACGAAACTAAAGTCAGCAAGAGAAAATGGCGGCACTTGCCAGTAAGAATTTAATTTATTTCAATTTTCTTTAGTTTAAGCCATTATTTGTCATCTAAATATCATGTAACTATGGAAGAATCGACATTAGATAAGTATGCAATAAACAAAAGCTTTCGGTCCAGGTAGAACATCTGCTAGACATGTTAAATTGTTAAATGAAACAAAGCACGGATTTATTTTTGTTTTGCAACTTGAACTGGGTTATCCCCACTTGATTGAACTGATTAGTCGTTCTACTAGCTAGCCTAATACTAATGAATCATTCACAATCACAACATATTATTAATACTACTCCTACTATTCAGTTCTGCATGGATGAATCATTAATTAGGCTAGGTTCTTCATGAATGAATCACATTTAAATTATATGCTTGTTGAATTAAAATGCCTCAACAAAGTGAAAGTAATCTTTAAGCTTTGCTAAACATTATAGGCCTATAATTATTATAATATTATATATTGAAAATATTAAAATATCTTTATTTATGTCTTTTATGAAAATTCATATAATGTTATCTTTTTAAATAAAGACATTTTCTTACGACCAAATCTATTTTAACAAGAAATATTAACCAGATCGATTTGGCCTATTCACTTTTTTTTTACCAGAATTCTGAATGATTTACAGATGCCTCTCTAAATATTAGTCTGGCTGCTAGAGGCCTATCCTATGTGCTTTACTTTTTCGAGGAGGCAGCTGAGCTCCCACAGAGAATGATTCTTCTGTGCTGTGAATAACTTTTTGGAAAACGTTTGTGCAACAGAGACTGTCTAGGTGTAAGCTCTGAATGCCTAATAAGCTGTAATCGTAATCAAGGTCGTGAATTTGTCATAAATTTTTTTTGGGGGGGGGGGGAGGGACGGACGAACCCTGGAACTTGGAACATTTCATTACCAAACCAAAATAATAATTACGAACAGTTTACCGGGTACTGTACCAGTGTTATTTCGATGAAAGCTGTAACTAGGGGTAATATGATGACGATATGGAAAAATTGACTACCTACATGTACATCAAAGCCAGTGAATCGTCCAAAGATGTTCATTCTATGAATATCTTGGCGACATGCTTTGGGTCCTGATCATGAAGGAGGTCATTATGCACTGCACACACCATCAGGTGGTTCAGTTATTTTTGCGTCATGGAGTTGCGCAGCCAAGTTTTGATACGGTGCAGAGTGCTGAAGGATCAGCAGTGTGAGACTTAGAAAAGCTTTGACAGAAGGGAACATCTGCCTCACTTCAGGTGACATAGTGAGGAACGCTTCGTGCACAAGTGAAATGGATTTGGCCGAAAACTGGCATTTGAAGAATGACAATTCTTGTTCCAAAGTCCGGATTCATTTCAGGATACGTAGACACAAGCTCACCATCGTATTGTCCAGATACTAGTATTTCCGTTAAATTACCGTAGCTTGCCAAGTCAGTCGAGGTGAACTAAACGTCCAAATTATTCATATGAAATATTGCCAAGGCAGTGGTTAGATAGCCTTCAGACGGGACATTCATGTGGATATAAAGCTGAAAATCTGTCCTGGCGATCAAAATCATGGGCGGGGGTGGAGTGGGGGGGGCAAGACCTATTTGCCCCCCCCACTCTGATTCTAAGGGGGAGGGGGGCATACCCCCCGCCCACCCCTAAATTCACGCCCATGACCGTAATATGCTTATCTTATATATGTATGTACTACATAATATAAGAGACATACTTAGAATATAGATCTATGGCAGATAGTAAACAAAAATGAGTGGGTTAGTGTGAGGATCTGCAATTGAATTTGTTAACATATTATTTGTAAATAAGTTTATTTCTGACTTTGTTTTGTTTCAGAAATAAGGTTTAAACATGGCCCACTGGATCAGTGGTCCACGAAGGAACAGCTGGCACTGGCTTCATCTGTTATGCGAAGTGGAGATCAAAACTGGTAAAGATTTAAAGTGTTAATATCAGTATTAAAAGAAATGAATAGGAATTTAATAGTTCTCACTAGTCTATTTTGAATACTATATTATTTTGTCAATATTATATCAATTTTGAATAAACCTAACTAAGACAAGTCATTTCCTGTGCAATTAATCATTCCTGGAAATAAAGGTTTTAGTTGTATCTGGCAAAATATCAGGCACCACTATTATTTTGAACTTTGTGCAGACATGTATTAATGAAATCAATAAAAAGACAAATCTTTACAAAACAAAATGACAGACACCCCAAGATTTTGCCACACAGTGGCTGACAGTGTCTGTGACACTAGTGCTTTTCCTACATTTCCAGGCTATGATTAATGTACTGCCTTTAATATCCAACTTACTATTGGTTACAAAGAGAATTATAAAATAATAAAAAAGATATGTTTGTCCCACAATGACCTAGTTGTGTTGAATGGATGTCAAACTACATCCTTTTGTCATCTGATTCTGTCACCATTTCAGGGTATCTGTGAGTAGATCAGTTAAACCACATGGAGAACCAGACAGACCTTCTGATTGGTTTTCACAGAAGGTAATAAATTTGTCTTTGTATTTTTACTTGTGATAATATTTAACCCATTTATTTCTGCCTTTACATTTATATTACGAATAGAATTGTTTGCTGCGGCATTAAATATCTGGCTGGACAGAATCAGTATTTTTCATGTAGATTTAAATGAAATGGGGTTTAACATGATTTTTTTCTGCACAAACCGGGCTAATTTAAAGAACTGCATAAAGTTTATCGTCATATCACATTAATTGTTGAATGTTGATGTTCTAAATCAAATCTATGAAAATAAACACTTGGCTGCTTTAAGAAGTTCTAAATCAAAATTATGAATATACTTTTAAATACATGGTTGTTTTCTTTTCAGAACTGTGCACTCCAGTATTCTGAATTACTTGAAAAAGTTGAAACACCAAAGTAAGTCAGTCAAGTTAACATTTATCTTGTGTTAATATTATCTTCTGTAATAATTTGATACTTCAAGAGTTTTATGTTTGCTTTTTAAGATTAAGATAATTCATTAAAGTCCTTTGTATTTCTTTTTTCAGGAGAAAGCGTGGGGAAAAAGGGGAGGCAACTGACACATTAACTGAACAAATTGTACGGAAACTGACAGAACAACGAATAGAAGAATTGAAGAAAATAGTTATTGAACAACAGCAAAAATATAAGTAATATCCATGCTTTCATTAATTTAAATTTGGTCAATGTTATTAAATATCTTTTATAAATTTTTATAAACATTTGAATGGATGTAGAATTGATTGAAAGTCTTTAAATCACATTTGTTTGCCAGAGATCATCCATACAGAATCTCTGAGAAATTTAATGTATTTAATTCGTCTGTTGACTAAATTTATTCATTGTAATTTGTTATTTGAAAAGGAAATTAAAGAAAGATATTGAAGTGATAAAGTCTGGACAGCTTGATGATAAATTACCGGAAATATGGGATGCCATGCTCGAGTAAGTTATATTTGTAATGGATTTCCTTTTCAAAACACCTGATACGACATTCCATTTTATAAATTACCTGATGTGGCGAGTGTACTTGTTATAAATAGGTGGGCTAAATTGTATTGTATTTTGATTGATGGTTATTGTTTTTATTAGATATGAACATTAGTGTAATGATGTAGTCATTTTGTTCCTTTTGTGAAAATGATCACTCCATTACCATCTTGAGATGGTTTAAGAAATGTATTTTCATGGCCTGTGATGGCGACATAATAGTTGACCTTGATTAGACATATCATTAACTGGTTGGATAATTAAAGGCTTTCAGAGAGTTGATCTGGAGTTGACCTATCATAACCTGTGCATTACAGAACTCGCATTATAAAGAAATGTCTTTGATAAAGAGAAGCTGAGTAAAGAGCCAAAAAGTATAACAAATTATTGGTATGATTTATTAGAGTGCACCCAATGCTGATACAGTAAACATTCCTGAAGCAGAAATGTCTTTGAATTAATCATCAGGGTTACATGCACACAGAACCAATATAGATGTACAAATTCTCGGAATGTGAAAGAATTCAGTATTGATGAAATGATTTCTCAGATAGCTTTTAATTGATACTTGTTATATAAGAAAATACTAGAAATTTAAAAATAACTTCCTTTACAGTTTATTTACCTGTACACAATTTATATTTCTGTCAGTAGATTAATAAAGGGCGTAAGTATATTGAATTTAACCCTTTATATTGCTTGTAGAGAAAGAAAACAGGCACAACAGCTTGCCATGGAAAACAGACGACGATCTGCAGATAAAACGGAGACACAAGGTGAATAATTTTTCAAAAATTTGTCAAAATTTTTTATTATCATGACAGATTGTATGGCTGTCGAATGGTGAGGGCACTGGACTCTAGACTAGTGTGGTCCCATTTTGAAACACACTTCCTAATGAGATGGGACAAAAAACCAAAATCTACCTATCTACGTATTGTCATGCACATAAAAGAAACCATAATAGTCGGAATTGGATTAAAAGTAGGCAAGAAGACTGCTATGTAGGTCTCCACCCTAACAATCCATACATGACCATAGAAACCGAAATAAGTGTATGTTTGGTTCAAAATACTGATGAGACTTTTGTTGATGAGACTTTAAACTCCATCCCTTTCGTGTATTGTAGCCATATCAATGGTGAAAACCATCAAAACATATTGTAGTAAATGTGAAATAATGGAGTATGTATATATTTTAGTCTCAAATAAACAGAAAAAGATCAGTGAGATGAAACTAGGTCCACCAATGGCAGTGACAACAACTACAACCACAGCAACTACAACAACAGTAGTATTACAAGATCTAGATGATACTACCAATGATTCATTAGATAGTGGTGGTATTGATGTCTCTGTTGTAAGATTTTAAATATATATAATGTTTACTACATTTACTACCATAGGTCTTATGTTGTATAACCATTCAATTAATATTTTGTACATTGACTATGTGTGGGATGGCAGTAGTCCTGCTGTTTGGACAAACAACATGCAACTAGAATGTCCCTGGTTCAAAAACTGATGTCAGCAGATAAGAACTCAAAGCTTATGCCATCAAGGATGCCTTAGCAGTTGGAACTTAGAAAAAAAGATTATAATTCCATGTCTCCTCCATTGCCACATATCTACAGATAATTTTTTTAATTTGTGCTAACAAAGATGTTGAATGCCATACCTCTTTAAAAAAAAAAAAAGCATAGAGCTTTCATTTCTTTTAAAAAGACCTTTAAAAAGAAAAATAACTTATCACAGCATAAATGCATGTTTTGTTGAGGGTGATAATAATACTTTTTTCTTTTTTAAAAAAAATAAAAATGCAATCAGTTAAATAATTTGACATTTTATTTTTAGTTATCAGATGACAGCTTGAATCAGCCTCTATTAGCTGCACCTACAACAATGACTTTAACTATTCCACCACCTATATTACCTACAGCTGATGGTAGAAATAAATCTGGTCCCCCTACTTCCCCCCTTCTGTCCTCCCTTCTACAGAGCAAGCTTAAATCAGCTGATAGTCTACAACTACTTAAACTAGTGAGTTACTCTTATACTGAATTTATACGCTGGATTTTTAATTTTTAAAATTCTTCTAGACTGCAATTGTCTGAATTCTTGGAAGGTTCTTGCAACCATACATATTTGCAAAAGTTCTTAAAATTATCTACAATTTCACTATTAATATTAAAGAGTTCTTCTTCGAGTGGCATTTAGTAATTGAACAGTAACATACTAAAAACTATTTATGGAATAACAATTACTTGTTTATTAACATGCAACATTTTGATGATGGCACTCTTCTCTTTGTCAGTATTCAGTAGATAAATTTCTGACAGATAAATCACCATTATCTCTGTTGATTCATATGGTTCTTGAGTTTTGCTTTATGGAGTATCCTAGTAGCATATTGTGAAAAAAAGATCTTTTTTAGCCATTCTGAGATTTCAAATACAACATGAAGTACATATTATTCATTGAATTACAGGAAGCCGAAGAAAAACATCAACAACAGATATTGGCCAATCAAGCAGCAGCTGCTACAGAAGCAGCAAATCTATTGTCTGAAGCAGATGTTGATAGTAAATTAAATCTATTAATGGCACCTACTGCTCAGATAGAAACGTCTACACCTACAGTTACTCCCACAATAGGTTCGTACAGACTGATGATTAATATAGTCAAATATTACTTGTTTCAGACCAATTACATATCATATTGGAATTAGGCTAAAGAACTTTACTTGTTGGTTATTGCAAAGCCAATATAATATATTATCTACGTTTTTGATGCGTTACTTTAACAGCCAGTGGGGGGGTTGGATGGCCGAATGGTAAGCATGCGCATGCTGTATCATACGGTCTGTCATTGAGTCAACTGGCGGGGTTTCGATTCCCCGGTTGTACGTGACAAGTGGGTTTTCTCCGGGTCATCCGGTTTCCTCCCACTGTTAAAGACCCCTACGCGCAAGCGAATTATTGAAATAAATTAAACATGTGTTAGTCCCGAAATGACCTAGTTTGTGTCGAGTGGACGTTAAACCCCATCTCTCTCTCCTCTTTTAACAGCCAGTAGTTTTAGGTTTAGGGGATCAGGTGGCTTAGTGGGTAAGACGCTGGCTTGCTAGCCTGGAGGTCGGGTGTTCGATCCCTGCATTGGCCGAGAAAGTTCATCCAGATTTTCCAGTGTGATTTCCCCTTGTCAGTGATGCAGGACGGAGGGCCTGACAAGGACAGCTGTCTAGTCGTTCGGATGGGACGAAAAACCGAAGACCCGTGAACACATTGGCGTGCACGTAAAAGATCCCTTGGCAGTTGGAATTCGATATACGAGTAGGCCGTAGTGCCGTTGCCCGGGCAAAATTTCCCTCATAGCACACTGTATGGCGTATGCCATCTTCATTAGCCCAGTTTGGAGCAGAACAGTAGGACGTTAAACCCCAGTTCAGTTCAGTTCAGTTCAGTTCAGTTCAGTTCTAGGTTTTAAATATTTCCAATAAAATATAAGCATGTGTATGAAAAACTAATAATGGAAAATCTTGAATCAATTTGTAACTGATTTTTTTACCTCAAATTGGATGTGAAGCATCAGGACAATGAGAGGATAAGTCCTATTGATTTTCCTTGTTCTCCATCCATCTCTTGCAAAGTGTGGGAGTATCTTGCATGGTTACCGCTCGTTCCTTCAACTAAGTGGGATTGTTTAGCTAATCACCCATCAGTTTTATGCATAGTTATTGTCCCTGACCATGAAACCATTCAAATAGGTTCTTGTGGGTGTATATTTGTTACCTGGGAATGCAATGTTTAAATTGACTCTATAAAAATGTTTTTGCAGGTGCTCCAACATTATCTAAACTTCTATTTCCACCAATAAATACTATAGCTGGTATGACTGTATCAACCCAGTCAGTTACAGGCTCTGTCGTAGTAGATAAACCAGCAATGACACTAGAAATAAAAACAGGTAATATAAAATATTCTAGAACATGTGATAGGGTGACCCATGTACTCTACAGAAATACAGTCCACCGCTGATAGTTCGAGACTACCACTGAAGCGTGCACATTCGCCGTGCCGAGACCAACTTTCTGATTGTATGATACTATAAATAGCCATGGCACGTGCAATTCTCTACAAATCTATCAACTGAATGACGACAAGACCGAAGTTATAAGATTTTCAACCCGCTTTAATAAACACAATTTAAAAACCAATGCAGTACGTGTTGGTAATAGTTCAATCGCATGTGTTGATACTGTAAAGAACTTGGGTGTTATATTCGACTCAAAGATGTCAATGAAAGCACAAATAACTGCAATGTGCAAATCCTGCAATTATCACCTGTATAATATTGGCAAAATTAGGTCCTTCATTGATTATGACACAACTAAACTACTTGTAAATGCCTTCATCACCTCAAAATTAGACTACTGTAATTCGTTGCTTTCTGGCCTTCCTTCTTCATATATCCAACCGTTACAGCTAATTCAAAATAAAGCTGCCCGAATAGTGTCCCGGACAAACAGGAGTATACATATAACACCAGTGCTCAAAGTCTTACATTGGCTTCCAATCCCATTCCGTATTGAGTTTAAAATATTATCATTGACATACCTCTGTTTAAACTGTGACAATGCTCCAAGATATCTTAAAGACCTAATTCAACCTTACAGGCCATCAAGATCTTTAAGATCAAGTGATCAAAATCTTTTGGAAATTCCAAAAGTCACTACCCTATTTGGACAAAGAGCCTTCTCATTTTCTGCCCCGATGCTGTGGAACAAACTTTCCCAACAAACCAAATCCAGCTCAAACTATGCAGCATTTAAGAAAAACCTTAAAACTGAACTTTTTAATCATGCTTATAAATAGTGTTTAAATTGCTTTATTCATGTAATGATTTTATTCGTATTTGCTAATTAACTTTTAAAACTTATATATATTTTAAATTTTGAGTAATTTTAAGCCTTGTGTGTTTTTTAAATAATTGTTTAAATCGTATATGTTTTTTAAAATAATTATAAATTTAATATATCTCAAATTTAAAATGTATTTTTAAAGTATTTATCTTGATGTAAAACCAGCGCCACTGAGCAGCTATACTAGCTGGAACGTGTGCGCTTTATAAATGTATTAAATTATTATATTATAATTATTATTATTATAACTATTACAGCCGTATAAAAAAATTATTGTTGACGATTTTGAATAGCAGTGAAATTAAGCTTCTTGGTTATTACAGCAGATTAAGTAATTACGTTCGTTTCATTTTTTAAATCGCTTTATCATTAACTGTACCGTTAAGAGCGGCATCTTTTGGTTTAGTACAAATAATATCTCTGAATCACTTGGGTTAGACAGGAACATGATACTAGCAGTAGTTTCATTTTACTTTTACAAGGTTCTTAAAACGATTGTTGAGCTACCTAACCTGCTTATTTCTAAATTCAATTTCTTGTTCTAGCTTTCTGTTATGTTTCGTCAATCAGACGTAGAATGGTCGATAGACTGGTTAAGCGAGACTGTTTTCAAAACAAGGGCACGTAACCTATCTTTTACTCAAAAGTGTCTGGATGTTATGGACGACACTTGGAACCAGTTTTCAGTCTATTATTTATAGATGATTAATGGTCATAGCTTATTAAGTACAACATGATCGTTTATTTAGTGACTATAATTGTGTGAAACTGATTTGAGGCTTGGCATATATATAAATATTGTGGCGTAATTGTCGAGATATATGGAGATATTTATTTATGGTGGGTCACCCTACATGTGATACAACTTCTCAATTATTTGATATACCCATGTATGTTATTCCAATTAGCTAACCAAAGCTTCAGCCAACCCTAGTCAGGGAGACATTCATTTTGCGCCTTCTTTTGTACTGTGGTTGAACTATCTGCATCTGAATGTCATTTGGTTCAAACAATAGTCGTGACCAGCTCAACTATATAATAGAGCACTGTCGGACAAGATTGAAACACATGTATGCCGCCAAATGGAATAGGCAATGGACCGTTTCCGATTGTGTGCTTGTTTTGACTATAATCATAATCTACATCCGAGCATACTTATTGTGTATAGGTCGTCCTAATACCTCCAGTCTTTTGAAATATCAATAAAAACAATATTTTTCATTGGTAAATTTACAAATATAGATCCCTTTTTAAAACATTTTTGCTATGTTTTTATAAATTATTGTTATTTTAACATAGAATAGTTTCAGGTCTGTTAACATAACAAAATATGTATATACTGTAAAGAATTAATATTTTAATTTGTTATTTTTATCATAAGAGAGTGAAGAATGTTTTTTGGACCCGAACATACAAGTCAAAGAAGAGATAATAAGGGGAGATAATTCTAAGTTGATTGATATAGAACATGCTACAGAGGTTGTAGTAACCGATGGTGATAGTCAAACAACCACATCTACAGCTCCTGATGATCCTGGTCAAGTTGTAAGTATATTAATATTTTGAAAGATAATTTAGTTGTTACAAATGAGTAACATACAGTAATCTGCAAGGCAATGGCTCACTAACCAGAAGGTTCTGAATTGATCCCGGTTTTGACTTGAAAAGTTCCTCAGGATTTTAAGTCTGGATGACCTGGCATTGTAAACTTCCTTGTCGTTCGGATGGAATGAAAAACTTAGGCGTATATCATTGGTTGGACTTTAAAGATACCCTGACAGTTGGAAATTTCAAAAAGAGTAGACTAACATCATGGTAAGAAGGAAAAAATTCCCCTCATAGTTAAAGTTAAACCCCATTTCATTTCATTTTAATTCCATACAGTGAGAATAAAATGTTAATTGTAGCAAAATAAGATTTAAATGTTTCAATGAAGATCTGACTTAGATGGTGGTGTAGAGTTTGTAAATAAAACCATGTTTTCATATCATATTTGTATATGCAGTCCCAGGATGAAAGTGAGGCTGGTTCAGGATTTCCTAATATAGAAATAAAGGAAGAACCACCCTCACCAGCGAGTAGTGTATCATCTAAAATCAGTGAAAGTGGTGGAAAATCAACTCGCAGTAAATCTAGACGTAGTAAGTAGCAAGTCATGATTGATAAATTTTATATAAGACGTGTTATGATACTGTTATCATTACTTGATAATAGTGTAAGTACTCTCATTGAAGCATTGCAGTTAATAAACCTAGTGAACGTTTTCCATCAAGCTGTCTGTATTATATATTGCTTTCACTAAATGTGCTTTAAAGATGGTGTGCACATAAAAGAACCATGACAGGTAAAATTGAGTTGCTGTCCAGGCAAAATTCCCATTATAGCACACTGCATAACATATGCCCATCTTCATTAGCCTGTACTGTCTACAACTAATGATTCATATTTCTGAATCACTGTAAAATTTCTAAAAACATTTCAAATTATTAATAAAATGGTTAGAAAAATTAAAATCAACAATTTGAAGAAATGAACACAAACTGTTCATATGTAAATAATTGTTTTATAGATGTATAATTCCCAGATACTGTTTTATATATATAATTTCCAGGTATTGTATATATAATTTTCAGGTATTGTTTTATGTATGTATATTTTGTAGATATTGTGTATATAATATATTGTAATTAACAGGTACGTCGTCTAGAGGTGGTAAGAAAAGTAAAAGGATTACAAGAAGAAGTGTGGTGGTAAGTAAAATGTTTTTGATACAATTTGATAATAGTGGAATTTCTTTAAGTTATTTTATATTTTAATGTCTTTTTTAGGTTCACTTTTATTTCATTCAGTTTCGTATAATTCAGTATTGTATAATTTACAAATCTATAATACAGTGTTTATTTTGCTATGTAAATTTCATTGATATATTTAAATTAAACATGATGACCAAGGCCATGTTAATATTAGTATCCTCGTAAAATTATTGATCGCATTGTACAGTGAGCATAAAAATGAAACTAACTGTAGGTATGTTAGTCTCAAGATGCTACTGGCAGAGTATTAATGAGACATCTAATTCCATTGTGTTGTTATAGGAGAAAGACGATACAAGTTCTAAACATAGTGAAGCTGAATTTACAGATGATGATTTAGCCAGAGAAAGTGATGAGACTGGTTCAATCACAACTACACTTCATACTGGTAGTGCATTGTGGGTTGATTCTGTCCCTAATAGTCCAGCCTCTTTGTCAATGTGGTGAGTTTGTATGGTTTTGTCATTCCATTCTGAAACACGAAAATATTAAACATGTATCTTCTTTATCACAATTACTCTGTTATGGGGGCCGGGGTGGCTTGGTGAGTAAGATGCGTACATTGGCTCGCTAACCTGGAGGTCCTATGTTCAATCCTGGTGTTCAATCATCAGGATTTTGCTACTTGTTTCCCCCCTTCAGTGATGCAGGACGGAGGGTCTGGCAAGGGACAACATATAGTCATTCGGATGAGACGAAAAACCGAGATCCTGTGTACACATTGCCGTGCATGTAAAAGAACCCTTGACAGTTGGAATTCGATATAATAGTAGACCTTAGTGTCGCTGTCCAGGCAAAATTTCCCTCATAGCACACTGTATGGCACATGCCCACCTTCAATATCCCATTCAGTATAGAAACCCCTTTTCATTTCATTTCTCTGTTATGGTCAAACATCAAATGGCATCCTTGCATTAATTAGCCTACACTGAAGTTTGATTCATTTATCCTTTGAAACACAATCAATGTAATTTTAGTGAATGTATTTTAATAAAACTTGAAATATATCGTACCTGTATTATCACAATTCATACATCAGCATATTTAATTCGGCAGCTGGAATTTCTGTAGTTGATTCTTTTCAATGCAATAAATTTACTTCGAAGTCTAAGTGTCTACCTTAACATTAATGCCTTCTGCATATATTTTATGAAATCATCTTACTCATAGTATTTATTTTAGTTCTGATACAGAGGATGAAAAAGCTTTTAAAATCTGGAAAAAATCCATCATGCTAGTATGGAGAACAGCAGCCAACCACAAGTAAGTTAATATTATTTCACAAATGAAATATAACGATACAAATCTGATTAAAATATACAACTAATTTTGATAGATCTGTCAGTACTTAAATCAGATGGTGTCATGTCTGATATTGTGATATGGATTATTTATGTTGCAAATCTACTTTTGATTTTCTACCAGAAACTGAACAGATCATTCTATTGGTTAATGTTAATGATAAAATAAATCTAGATTGGGAACAGTAGTCTGGGTTATGAATGGAATCAGGATTTGTAGTAGATTTATAAAAAATCTCATCCATAAAACAAGAGATTGTTTTAAATTTCTCATAAGCAGTTGAAGTAAATTTGTTCATAAAATATGAAAGCGATCGAGGGAGATTGATCTGTATACATTTATATAATACAAGTATAGATAATCCATGTATAGTATTTATATTCTATGTTTCAGATATGCTAATGTATTTACACATCCAGTAACCAATGAAATAGCTCCTGGTTATCTGAATGTTGTTCATAGGTAAGTTAAAAATCTTTTAGAGGTTGTGAAGTATATATTTGTGGAAAAATTTTGTAATTGAACAAATATTGATAGAGACATTGTAAAGACAAAATTGAAGACACCGAACATGAAGGAGACTAGGTGGTTATGTGGTTGGAACACTGGACACACAACATAATATCCTGGTCGAATCCTGGCATGGGGGATAAAGAATAATCAGGATTTTTCAAGCCCACTTCCTATCTGATGGGTGATGCTTGCTAGTCTGACAAGAGAAGTGTGTCTGGTTATTTGGATGGTGTGAAAAAATGTGTGTACTGGCTTCTGAATACTACGGCATTTTGTGAAATCTGTCATTATTTTCAGGTCCGGATTTATTTCCTTATTACTTCAACCAAAAAGTTTAGAGTTAGTCAGTATTCTGAATATTATGAATTATGACATCAATCAGCGGTCCAATCACACAATTTGCATCGAATTAACATTGTATAATCCGGTCTTCAATCAGTGGGTGTTCATCTACAAAAGATTGGCAAGCAATTACCAATCAATTATCTGTGAGATTAATACTCGTGTCGGTCATTGTTGATTACCTTGATATCAACAGAATGACGCATCAGTGGTTTAAACATCAAATCCTTTAAAGTTAGTGTTGAAAGTGCAGGTGTTGATCTTGGTGCCGTTGAAGAATTGCGCATTCCATCTATTTTTGAAGGGTATCATTGTGTGATAAAAAAAATGAGTACTAAAGGTGGACAAATTTAAACAGAATGATTAACAATCTTATTTTGTTGTGGATAATGCACCATCTCATATCTGTGATACATATAGCAACGTAAATATTAAATTTTTGCCACCAAATACAACATCAATATAGGCCTACAACCAAAGAAAATTATATTTGAAGACCTGTACAATAATACTTCTGGTATTGATTATTCTGTCATGCTGTGTAATCAGCATATTTTAAGGATCCCGTACGATGTCAGAAGTGACAGATTCCAGTGTACATTAGTAGTGCATGTAATAGTTCCCTCAGCAGTTAAAATTCAATGAAGAGAAGCCAGAAATGCCATTGTTCACAATAACTTTATTCTTTTGCATAGCATACATAGAAATAAAAATTCCCAAATGTTATATGTTGATCAGGTTTTTTTATAGCCCATTTCAATCCAAAACTTGAAATTGAATTATGGAAATGGTTACTCACTAGAATTTTAACTTAAATATTGTTTTCATTTTTGTTTTTACCAGACCTATGAATCTGACGTTAATAAAGCGTAATATAGAATCAGGAGTTTTACGAACGACGTCTGAGTTCCAACGTGATATGATGTTAATGTTTACTAATGCTATCATGTATAATAGTTCCGATCATAATGTTTACAAGATGGCCGTAGAGATGTATGATGATGTCATGGAAAGTATTGAGGTAGGTTGTCAGTTGTTTAAAATTTAGATGCTACCCTTTTAGCATTAAAACCGATCAAGTATAAAATAGAATATAAATATTTCAAATACAAAAACAAGACTGCTATAGAGTAGCAGAAGCTACTTAGATTATAACACATTCAGAATGTGTACCAGATCCATGTGGTTGTATTTATTTACATATTTAATAAAACAAGGCAAATTGTTATTATATAATTTACTTATTTTGCAATAGCAGAATTTCCATTCCAATGTCATTAATGAGTTCTTAATGCGTCATTTTGATGTTGATCAACCTCGTTTAGATTTATATGAACCTGGGTTGGGAGTACTTCCGATGTTAGGAATGACAGCTATAAAAAATTTATAGAAGCTGAAAAGTTTTCAGAGATTTACTGTTGATTACAGGATATATTTAAGATGATAATTTAGATGCACTCGGTTTGAAATAGGATATAACTTTTGTCTCTTTTCAGCAATTTGTTCATACTCAGTTAATGGTTGCCAGTAATGAAGCAAAATCTCTTCGAACATCACGGCGATCAGAAACTGTTGATAAGGTAACGTGTATTTAATATGAACAATAATAACAAAATTATAAAAAAATATGTTAAAAATCTATTTTCTCTTGTTGCAGTGGAGTTGACATTACAATATCACATTGGGTCTATAAAGATCCCTTACTTAATTAAGTTGAAATATGAATATATTAAAGGTCAGATTTTAGTGTCGATTTTTGAAGTATATTGAAAAGTGATACCATGTGATACTAAGCATTTAAAAATATCTGAAGGTGGGGCTGGCCTTAAAAATATCTGTTTTGCCTAACCCAACCAACCAGTTAAAACGACCCCCGATGTAAATTATTTTTTTGCACTTTTCCATGAACTTTTTATTTTATTTTGTTTGTCAACTTGAAATATAGCACGAAATTTATTTTTCCCTTTACTAATGCTATGGTTTGATTCATTATTGAAACTGGTTAATCAAGACGAAAGCATCATAGGTGTCGCTTTTCAACAAAATGATTGCAGACGGAAGCCTGACCTTTCCCATGAAATGATCTGCCTCAATGCCTGTGGAGCATCGTTTCAATAATGACAACAATATTTTCAATATCAATTTTTAAAAAATGAAGGCACAACCCGCATGATCGTTAAAAACTTGTTGATGGAATTTCACACTTCTGTTTCGTGGCAAATCGTGTTCAAGTTGTGCGTCACTAAAAATCCTGATGTCATCGGTACCTATTGATTTGTGTGCCTACAAGAACCAGGAAAAGATCAAGCTGTCAAATTAGCTCTTCGATTTTGACTTTAAAAAAAAAATTATGTAAATAAATGCTGACCCTACCGACCCTTCTCCTTGATTGTGGGTCTTGTTTGGTGAAACAAAGATATTTTTAACTGGTAAGCCTGGTAAAGTTCACTTTATGGAGGCCCCCTAACCCATACAAACAAATAGTAAATGTATCTACTAATACTTACAGTCGTGAAAGATAAATTTGTGAAATTCAATATGGCTGATGTAAGAGCGATGCCTGTCTAAAAACCTACATAGTTCATCTTCATAACTGATGTAGTAAAGAGAGATATTTCATATCAGTTTATTTTTATTTGGTAAATTGTAGGATGAAGACCCAAAGAAACGTCGACCATCATGTGACCAACCTCCAGAAGGAGGAAAAACCAAGAGACGAAAAACAAGAGCTGATGATACATGAAATGATCTCTGGACTTTACGTTTGTGTATGTTATAAAATCATGGCAAGAGATCCTGTTTATTACATAGTATTCTAGCTTATTGTCTAAAAGCTTTAACTGTATCCAAAAACTGTTGTGAAAGACAGCTTCGAGTTGTAATTGTGTTCAAATGTCAAAAAATCATGCAGTGTTAATCAAATGAAAATTTATGGCACGTCAATGTTTTACACAGATATCGTAACTTGTGTGAGTGTGTTTACAATTTTGATTAATTCTCATGGGAAGACTTACATAAATTCACACGTATTATAGAAATAACCAAATTATTGATGTTACTCTTAATCAAAATCATGGTATATCGCTCATTCACTTGATTTAATATGGTTGCTTTCAGTTGTTTGATGAGTTTTGAGGTGTATTTGTTAGGCCTCTTGTACTCGCTATTGACACATATTAATGACAATGAATATCATGACCTGAAGAATTACCTTACGGTATATTGAACAAGAACAATCTGCTTTCATTTGACGAGTCCTATTGATGGATAGGGGTGCTATGTAGGCCAAGTTTTCCATATACGATGAGATGGTTGTAATAAAAAGATGAATTATTTCTGAATACTGGTCAAACTGATGTTCATTTGTATGTTTGTACTGTTTTTGTATTCACCTAAATTCTCTCGCGTTAAATAGAGTAATAAGTTTAGTATGGTCGTGAATCAGCTTTTTTTTAGGAATGTAAACTTCAGCTTACTATAACTGTATTTGGAAACAAGCAAACAGAAATATCGAAGCAACAAGATACAGAACTGAATTAGGGACTAATTTGATTCTAGCCATTGGCATGTCTCACCAAAGAATCAACTTTATTCTATCATTCTAGTTATGCTGACAGTGCATGTTTATAATTGTTATGATATTGTACTTGGTTTAGTAGATTTCTTGTAATAAAGAACATCATAACTATCACTTCGAACATCTTCCAAATTTGTATGAAAATCCTCTTATCCTTTCCTTCACAAACACTGCCCACCCTTCATAATGACAACTCTTACATTTTATTTTTATATTTTATTATGTGTAGCCATTGGCCATTAATGTGGACTTAAGTTTTAACATTTTTTTGGCTTAAATCAAGGTGGGAGAGGACAGTCAGCATCCTCGTAACCAGCATAACAATTTTGGGAGAGTTTGTTGGCACAGGATTACTGGATAAAAGAGGTAGAAATGCAAACCGATCAGCAGTTGCTATTTGCTTGGCCATCAATTAAACTCAAATTTTTTTTTTTACATTATTAAGACAAAAAATAAAGGTGTTTGAAGTATATCTGGATAAAAAATAAATCATATTTAGTGTAAATGGGTACATAAAATAGTGAGTGGAGGTGTAAAATGAGGAAAAGGCACCAATTCTGCCTGACCAGTTTGTATTACTATGCCTGATGTGATTTAACATGTAGAAAAATATTGGGCATGACCTTTAAAGGTCAGTCATTTGGATCAGTAGAAAACCTAAGGCTTTGGCAGTACCGCTGTGAAATAGTTTGGTAGAAATGCTTAACTAAATGTTTATATATTTTTCTTTTCTAAAAGAAATTGTTAATTAGGAACACAATGATTTCTAAATAGCACAAGGCAACCATTTTGCACTAGATTGTTATGTTTAGAAGGTTCTGAAAATAAATATTGAATAATTCTCAAGATCTGCTACGGAAATGACACCCAACCACAGCTAAGACTTAGTGGAATGGTTCTCGAGATCTGATCCAGAAACCACTTCAGCATGTGACTGATGACTGCACAAAGTTCCGGGCAATGTTATTAAACATTCACATGGAAAAATCTTGTGGACACTCTATAGGCTAAAGTTGATATCCGATTGACTTTAAATTTATACACAGTATTTAAGGTCACGAGACAGAATCCTATTGATTTTCAATGATTTACAATAATTACTGCTGAGTTATGGCCCTTGATCAGTTGTAGCACACATCACTCAATGAAATGTAGAAATGTTTTAGCTTGACTGTCAGAAGATGCCCCAAAATTTGTTTTAATAGAGAATAAAACCACTATCAGTATTGGAAATATTTTATTTTTACAATATATTTATCATTTTATACATTATGCATCCCTTTCTTCTTAAAAAAAATCAATAAATAAGTTTCTTGGTTCCCAAATCATATTGTGTACCAAATTAATATACAATATTCACATTAAAAGTTTTGTACCCCAGTAATATAATTTAATATAAATGCACTTTCAGATCCTCAATAAATAGTACTAACGATCCCATATTATGTACATACACTAAAATTCCAGAACCAATCTTTTACAGTTCTCTTGTAAAACCAAAAAATAGTTTGCCAAGTAACTTTCCAGCATATTTAAAGAATATGTCATAAGCGATAGACACTATTAATATCATTGTTCATCTTTGATTTGTCATTTATATCCAGCTCATATTCTGATCCATTAAATGAGCATGTGCTTGCATGTTGATTGGTTAACTGAATGTGCTTGCAATCTGATTGGTCAACTGAATGTGCTTGCAATCTGATTGGTCAACTAAATGTGCTCATATGCTGATTGTTCAACTGGGATGAGCTCGCAAGCTGTTTGATTACGGTAACTGAATACATGCTTACTTAATTTCAACTTCAATAGCTAGAAATGGCAAAAAAAGATGGTAAGTTATCAACTGCCAAGAAATTTGGAAAACAGCTTCTCCTCTCACTTGAAATTCAAACTATTCATATCAATCTTAAAAACATTAAATTATAAAGTATTGTGACCCCTTACATTATAAATTTCAATATGTATTCATGTGATCTTTTACATAACATCCAGCAGTATCATCAAACATCCAACAAAATTCATGACACAAAAATTCCTGGTGATGGCAATATTTCAAGTTTGAATAATTAATAGAAATTAACAATGGCATCAATTCATAAATAACTATTAAACAAATTTACATTCAACAATAACAAATAAATATGTAAAAGAAAAATATCATTAACATATATAATTTAATTTAAACCCTTGATTCAATAAAATACAGTTATCTTCAATAAACACAAAATATTTGTATTTTAGGAATTTGATTCAGAATATTTAGTAGGAGTTTAGGACTTAGCTCACTATATTAAGGTAGCTTCCAGCAAAAATGAGCCTGAACAAATGTCAGACACTATTAAAGTTATTCCCTACATTTTAAATATTAATATCAATAAAAACACTGATAAAAAACGAATCTGTACCATTGTGTGAAACCGGTGCCTTATTTCCAGACTTATGAACAAGGCATGTCTCACCCTAAAACTAAAACCCAATAATATCATATTGAAGTCCATCAGTATAAAGTGATTGCAGCCACTATAGTTTACCCCTAGTATATTATTATCAATCTACTGCACACATAACAATTTGGGAATACTCAATTGAACTTTATGCTTGATGAACATTGTGGAATTCCATTCTCTCAATCCCATGCATAGTGGCACAAGAAAATATCTCAACAAACTGTTAGCTGTATTTCATTATGTTAATTCTGGATCGACAATTAAACATCTTCTGTCATTCTTTTTAGTTCTTACTGCACAGAAATTCAAAATGAAATAAATTGGTTTAGTAATTACCAAATAAAATTGGAAATTGTTTATAAATAATGTACTTAATATTCACGAACATAATTTCCGTTAACAATACTTTTCACAAAAATAGATGCCATCCTCGGAATCAAACAAATAACTGGTCAACAAATGGTAAAAATTCCCCTATGTGTACAAATAAACAATGCCCCAGTAAGTATATGGACCCTAAGCTGTAAAAAATTATATAGATAAATTAAGCAATATAATATCTTGTTCATTAATTAAGGTCTGTCACAGTTTCTTGGCCCAGTTTCGGTGTTTATGATAAAACAATTTTTCTGTCATTGTCCAAAGTGGGCCATCAAAATATACTCAAAGAATATTACTTGACAGTATCTGTTACTGTTCAAGCATTTCCCAGTCGTTCTGTTTATTAATTGTTCTGTTGATATTTGTAGGTTATATATTATCGACAGTCTAGATGTTTCAGGTTATATATTACTATTGACTATGATGTTTGTATGTCTAGATGTTTCAGGTTATATATTACTATTGACTATGATGTTTGTATGTCTAGATGTTACAGGTAATATATTACTATTGACTACTGTAAAACATGAAATTATTGCGACATGAAATTATTGCGAGGTGCGGTGGTGAAACATAATTGCGACATGAAATTATTGCGAATTTCTATAGTGGGGAAAAAATTATTGCGACATGAAATTATTGCGAATTTTAATAATTTTTTTTAGTAATTTTGTCTATAAAATGTGGTAGATTGTTAATTTTGGGGTGACAGTCGGCTCTTCAAAACATCGGTTGATTGGTGATCATTAGTAAGAGTAAATAAACAACTATTGAGGATTATAGCTTTGAGGTGACAGTCGGCTCTTTAAAACATCGGTTGATTGGTAACAGTAACAGCTAATAGTGTAAACTTGTCATTTTTTACCAACCTTCGATACTACTGTCCACCATTGTGATGCATTCGATAATAGTTATCCATTTTCGTGAAGAAAATCGATGAATTAATTTTATTTTATCAAAAAAGCACATGAACAAAAAAACACCGCTAATTTTATCTACTATTTACAGGGGGTGTAACTCTGTATGTTATATTATAGGAGGCACTAAAAAGTCTGTTTAACAATAAAGTGGCAATGGAAAAGAGATACTAGATGATCGTGACAAAACTCTGTACTTTTATTTTATTCAATCAGTATCAAATAATGTGTGGTTACGCGTGAAAACAATGACAAGATTAATTAATAGATAATCCCGGGTTACATTTCTTTTTACCTGATCAGTGGGGGTCCAGTTAATTAACTACTACACACGGGATTAGCGGGGGTGTTACATAGAACGACAAGATGCTAACATTCAACAATGGCCGTTGAATGGGCGATGTTTTGTTGAATTTATTTGTAAAATAGTGACCGCTGGCCACGTTAGAGGAGTGACCGTTGAATAAAGAGATGAAACAACAGAATTCTTACAGGGGCAATTTATGGCCACCGCTTACAAGGAGGTGTCGCTGAATAGGAGTGGCTGCTCATACAGATTCTAATGTACTTATTGGGACTCTTTCTTGTGAAGAGTAATGAAGGGGGAGTAATTCAATATGGCCGACATTTTAACGAATTTTCACGAAATTATTGCGAACATGAAATTATTGCGAGAGGGGTTCGCTCGCAATTTTCGCAATAATTTTATGTTTTACAGTATGATGTTTGTATGTCTAGATGTTTCACTTTATATATTATTCACTGTGATTTCAGTGACACTGTGACAGTTTTCATTACAACATATATTTCATCAATATTTGATTGAAATCAGATAGTTCAATGGCAAAAATTTAATTTAATGACACACTGATGGAAGACTTTGTACATTTGAAATATAAAGCTATAACTGTTCCCAAAGTTGGTCACTTTCGATGAACTTTGAACTATATAAATGATAATATATGATGGTTATCCTTCTGTGCCATTTATATGATAATGATCCTCTGCAACCTTTGAACTTTCACCTTTTGTTGATATATCTGAAACATTTTTACCATTAATTATATTGTCACTTTTGGTTTCTATTCTGTTTAATTTAACTGGTTCACTAGTATGTATATTTTGAGAAGATTCAGCATTTGGAGAATGGTCCCCACCATATGGATGTTCACCATTTACGGAATGTTCACCATTTAGTGACTGTTCACTATTGTGTAAAATTTCACCATTATTTAAATTATCTCCATGTTCACTAGTTTTTGTATGATTATATTTATGACTACTATGATTGGTTGAATTGTTTGCATCATTAATATGTGGATGTCCAAGTCGTAAATATTCCATTAAACAGCCAGTTGCACCAAAATATCCCTGTAACAAAAAAATATAAACTGATTTCAAAAATGAAGAATATGACCTAGGAAATTTTTGGAAGGTGAGGTTCGCCAAAATGAGAAATAATAAAGAACAGTATTTCAATAATCAAAATCCATAGTGCAATAACACTGCTGAATAGTCTTGCACTTTTAACAAATCAGATATTTAATGAGGTTTTGAAAGATTGAAATCAATCTTTGTTATAAGAATGATTCATATCTCTAACATATATTTTAATATAGCATTGTCGAGCCAATAAAACTACACCCACCACTAGCCTTGTGAATTTGAAGGGAGCCAGACAGGACGTCAGTCGATGCTGGCCAAAGTTTTAATAACCCTACCTCAAAAATACTGAGAATTGGAATGTTCACTGGGGGAATACTCGATTTAATGTTCCGGAATTAAATTCTCTCAATTCCAAAAATAGTGTCAATCAAGTGAAAAGGAGAACTTCGGAAAACAGCCATGGCAGCTGAAACATATTTGTTACATAAAATGTCACGATTCTACTCACACCACCTCTGCTGTCCGGACTGGCAGAACTGTGACAGGACTGAATTCTGTATCACTTGATTGCAATTCTGTCAATTCGGGACGTTCCAGACTGACAATCAAGCACCCCAATAGTGTCAAGTGACACGAGCGATAACAAATTATAAATTGACAAACCGACGGACAGGGGTGACGACAATATATTCCCCAAATCTGAGTGTATATATTATATTAAACCCACCTCATGTTCTAGAAATAAAGCTTTTAGAGCACCTTTAGACCAATATTCCATGGCATGTGCTAATAATTTCATAGATATTGTATTTACACGTAGAAAATTACCAACAAATACTACTCGCTCTATTTTCTGAAAAAAAATCATAATATAAATTACTGTTACTGAAAATCAAATTATAAATTGCATTACATTAATAATTTGCTAAATTTATGCTCTCAGCTGGTCAGAATATTGAGACTTTCATCACGGTTTCTACTACCAAATTTTGTCAGGCAATTTTTAATATTATTTTTCTTCGGATTACTAGGATATTTTTTCCAAAGACTGTGATAATTTAACTGTATTTAATTTATTGTGTTCTATGATTAAATTCTTTAAAATTAAAGTTGATGGCATGGACAATAACTGACAGGTAAGTTCTGCAACTGTTCAATTTTACTGCCAATCAGTCAAGACAAGAGTCCTATTATTCATTATGCATTACAAAGTGCACGATTGATTGCCTGTCTAACCCTTAGGATATCCTTAAAAATCTCTTCTTCCACTGCTAACCCTCATTGGATTGTAAACAAAATATCAACACAAGATCTATCATAAAATGGGGGTTCCACAATCAAGCTAGGGTAAGAAATTCATGATTGATCTTACCTCAGTAACAGCGCACATCCTAGCTATAGAACCTATATTATTAGTTATAGTAACAAGAGTTGCCTTGGCTAAATCTGCTCGACTAGCTGTTTGACATTTCTCTGGTGTTACCATCTGACCAAAACTACAAAATATATTATATTTAAATTACATGGAATTTATATGCTAACCCCTACAATACAATGGTAAATAAATAATGCAAATTATTCCAATTCAGCATCAATTGTAATCAGTAAAGGAATGCTGAGGAAATATTCTTGTTTTCTTGTGGAAGATGGATCTCAGATCTCACAGCTACGGTGGATACCAAATTTTTGAAAAGGTAAAGTGGACTGAAAACCAAAGTTTAGCTAAATTTTGGGTCACAGCGTGCAAATTGTGTTGTGGATGTGAGACGTCACTTTTCTCTTTCTGGTCAGATACATTACTTCAACTTATACTAACTAGGTACAGTAGAACCTGTCATACAATTACTTCAACTTATACTACCAACTACAATAGAACCTGTCATACAATTACTTCAACTTATACTACTAGGTACAGTAGAACCTGTCATACATTTACATCAACTTATACTACTAACTACAGTAGAACCTGTCATACAATTACTTCAACTTGAACTTACCTACTAGCTACAGTAGAACCTTTCAGATTAAATTTATCATAGTCTCCACCATATATATCACTAACAGATTTATCAACACCTGTACTATCACCTTCTGATGCTAGTCTTATAGCTTCTTCAAACGTCTCACAACCAGTTAATAAACAACATAATCCTACAAAAGTTCCACCACCTAGACTAAAATTGCAAAACATAATACAAATTAATATCTGTATGAAATTCCCATATGGGTATTGCGTTATATAGCTAGATTTATGTCTAACTTCATGATAATATGTTAAGCTGTGTGAAGTTGACAACTATTTTGAATAAATGGAAGTACTAGTAGTATCAAGCATTCCAGAATGAGATCTGGCTTGTCTGTTTATAGATGTTATCATAATGCATAATTCATATTTTTAAATAATTAAAAGAGATCATAAAATGACAATATAAAATCACAAGCCCTTGTAACATGGAAAATTTCTTTCAACAAGCCAACAGTGAGGCTGATGTCCCCCGCCGAAATAGGAAAATAATTAGAGGACACATATAAATTTATCACAAATTATCTTTTACAAAGTATTGAACAATCAAACAGTATATCTTTACTTATAGTCTAACAATCAAAGTAGGAGAGTTATTGTTTTCCAAAGTCTCGACCAATCAAATTGCGTATCGCTCTGCTTACCCTGAGCAGAAAATGCTCATTATCAAACTTAGTCAAGGTATTACTGTAATGAAACTATACACCAAGTTTCATCAATCTCACTTAATTAGAACTAAAGTTATCGTGTCCCAAAGCATCAACCAATCAAATTGCTTATCTCTGCTTACCCTAAGCGGAAAATGCTCATCTTCGAACTCCATCAAGGCATTGACCTAATCAACACATACACCAAGTTTGAACATTCTAGCTCAATTAGGAAGAGAGTTATCGTGCCCCAAAGTATCAACCAATCAAATTGCTGCTTACCCTGAGCAGAAAATGCTCATTATCAAACTTAGTCAAGGTATTACTGTAATGAAACTATACACCAAGTTTCATCAATCTCACTTAATTAGAACTAAAGTTATCGTGTCCCAAAGCATCAACCAATCAAATTGCTTATCTCTGCTTACCCTAAGCGGAAAATGCTCATCTTCGAACTCCATCAAGGCATTGACCTAATCAACACATACACCAAGTTTGAACATTCTAGCTCAATTAGGAAGAGAGTTATCGTGCCCCAAAGTATCAACCAATCAAATTGCTTATCTCTGCTTACCCTAAGCGGAAAATGCTCATCTTCGAACTCCATCAAGGCATTGACCTAATAAACACATACACCAAGTTTGAACATTCTAGCTCAATTAAAAGTTATCGTGTCCCAAAGCATCAACCAATCAAATTGCTTATCTCTGCTTACCCTAAGCGGAAAATGCTCATCTTCGAACTCCATCAAGGCATTGACCTAATCAACACATACACCAAGTTTGAACATTCTAGCCCAATTAGGAAGAGAGTTATCGTGTCCCAAAGCATCAACCAATCAAATTGCTTATCTCTGCTTACCCTAAGCGGAAAATGCTCATCTTCGAACTCCATCAAGGCATTGACCTAATAAACACATACACCAAGTTTGAACATTCTACCTCAATTAGGAAGAGAGTTATTGTGTCCCAAAAAGTGTGACGGACAGACAGACGGACGGACGGACAGACAGACGGACAGACAGACGGACAGACAGACGGACGAACCCATTTTAATAGTCCCCTGCTTTCTTCGAAAGGCGGGGGACAATAATTACAAAGTATTATGCCTACAGTCTATTACATTCATAATCATATTACTGAGAAAATAAGGGACAAGAAGAATGCATGTTAGTCTGATCATTAAATTACTATCTATGAATTGTTATGTCTATATAACTGATTTCTCTATAATTAATCAATTGTTTGTTGATCAATGGGATAAACAGATAACCACCAAATTATTATAACTATTTGTATTGACACCATTTACAAATCTATTCTATGTCATTTTTGAACTAATTTGCTAGAAGTCACAATTTGTATTCAATTTTAAAAAACATTTAAGTATATCACCGTTACACATCAATGAAGGTTGAGTTTGAATTTCGTAAAAATCAGACCCAAACTGGCGGAGAAAATGGCCGCTGATTGTACACAAATAATGTAAAAGTATGTAATACCAAGGTTGTGGACTCTCCAGAAGTCACAATTTTTATCCGAATTTGATGAAACTTAAAATATATCTTTATATACCAAATATCACAGTTCATTTCAATATTCACACCTTTCAGGCCATAACTGGCTGGATCATGGCCCCTGATTGTACGAAAAATCGCTTTTTTTATTTTTTTAGCTTATTCTCTATCCATCTCTTGCAAAATGTGGGGGTATCTTGCCTGGCAACCGCTGGTTTAATAAACGTTGTAGACTTATCTAAGTAGTCAGAATTAATGATTGAATGAATGTATAGTTATTTGCTCCTGAATTTTATAGTCTCACTTAATAACATGAAGAATGTAATAATAAACTTAAGTATACATAATACAAGTTATTTTTAAAAGAGATTTCCCATGTTACAGGTGCCTGTATATATCTGGTATCCCTTGATGAAAAAAGAATTAAAAAAAAGCTAACCTGGTGCCACTAACACGCCTATAATCTGTTGGTGACCTCACAGCTAAAATACTGACCCCTGACCCTATATTCACCACCAAATATGGATAGGGGTCACGGAAATCGAAGGGAACTTTTTCACACTGTTGTATATTATCAGTATATTTCCAGTAATAACATTCGCTACTTGAGTTATATCTATCTATATAATGGATACCTTTTAATAAACATTCTAATTCATCATATTTATGTAGATCTAAATCAACATACTGAAATAAAAAATAAACTATAATCAAATTTACTAGGAGACTAAGATGCTAAAAAATAATTTGCTATGGGAATAGCTTGGTTTTCTGTTGGGTGTGTGCTGGGAAAATACATTCTAAAGGGAATAGTTGACTGAAAGTTCTGGAATTTATTAGAACCAGTTCTTGAATGGTGTCAATCAAAGTATATATGCTAACTGTCCACTGTATAACCACTATAACCATGGTGGTTTGTTGAGTATAGCGCTGGTAGCTGTTTTACGATAAGTTTGATTCTAGTTTTGACCAAGAAAGCATGTAGTTGTTCAAATGGGATAATTAGCAGCACATTAAATATCTCTAGAATAGAAAATCTAAATGAGGGTAGGCCGTAGAACATTAAACCCTCTTTAATTTCACAAAAGAAAATTTGACCATTAAATAAAACTCACCTTTTTAAAATCATCTTCAAATTTATAAGCCCCTCCTCCTGTGGCACATATTGCACTTGCTAAACTTGAAAAATTCTTAGCTTTAGCCATTTCAATAAAAGTCATCATATTGCTGGTTGGGAATCGGATAAAATGTAATGTTCCTTGGCGGCCACCAATAGACTGTGCAACCATTTCAAGATGGACATCTCGTATTCCTGTACTACCATATGCAACATTTCCTGTCAAATATTTACGTATTGTTTTTAAAGTTTCTACTTCTTCTTGTTCCTCTATATCAGAAATATCTGTAGGTTCAAAATAAACCAACTTTGTTAAAGTTCCTCCAATATCCATTCCAAACCACGGCATTGCTAAAACACAAAAAAATATAAATCATGGCAATGCAGAAATAATCCTATAACTAATTTTTCACAGCTTTATTCATACTAAAATGTACTCAGATTCATAATTTAACATTTAGATCATAAAATATAACTTTTATCTCTCTGCTTGGATACAATCCAATGAAAAAAAGACTCAATTAGAGGTGATGCTGGTTTGTTTACATCATTGGCAAGGAAAATAAGGATGCCAAATGTTGGGAAATTTCCAACTCATTATATCTTTGGGACTGATATTCCTTTTAGAAATTCAACTTTGACAGTACTGATTTAGGAATCAATAGATCTAATTTTGTCATATGCTGTTTCAATTACATTGATCTACTACCAATTTAAACTAATTAATTGTCTATAATAAAGAACTATCAGTCTACCTTTTGATGCCATTCTAATACTGAGATATTGAGACTAAACTGTTTAAACTACATGTACAGCTTCACATATACCGGTATATATATATACCAATCCATAACAAGAATCTCGTCAGCAAGTCTGAATTAAAAACTATCAAGCATAGGCTTCAGTATCACTAGTCATTCACACATCAGGAATTTTGAAACTATTAACTTAACAACTAGCTATTCTGCTCACAAGTCTGTGACTTGACAAACAAGACAAATGATTATCTATCTGTGTATTTAAAATATTATACTAATACTAGTGTATCATAATTAGTCATACTAAATACCATATAGTACACCCATACCATAAATTCTCTCATTGATTATGTAAATTTATCACAAACTTAACTACTACTGGTCTAAATTATGTTAAACCTTAAAGGAGCAATCCCTGATATTACTCATTGAATGAAGCTACTTAATTCTATGTGAAAGACTCTTAATCACAGTCCTGTGTTACTATTACAAGCTCTGTAATAAGTTTAAGAAGACCAAATTGTAAGTTTTCAAACCTGTTTGGTAATCACTTGACTGGAGAAAAGTATAATTTTGTAAAGCAATGATCATTTTGGATCATTCTCAGTAAAATAGCCTATTTTTTTACATTTTACGATTTCAAAGTATACCATGGATGTGAAATCTGGGTCGTTTGTAAGGTTTTAAATAACAATGACATTTAGATCTAAGTTAAGATTAGGATCATCCCTGTAGGATAAGATAAAGATTAGCTGAGATAACATTCAATAATAACTTTGTATATAATGTATCAATAGTAAGGAAAGATAAGGAATGTGGGTTTAACAATTCATCAATACAATAACATTTAATTATTTTTAAATTATATAAATGATAATCTTTATTTCCTGGGCAATTTTGGACAGCAATGTTTTTTTTTTCAAATTTCAATTACCTGTACCAAGTGATCTTCCATTCAATTTAAACATGTTTTTTTGTACCATCATATCAACTAGACAAACCTTATTCTTGTAGTGGAAACTTAGACTCAAAAATTGTCTTCAGGACGGAAGATTAATATTATATTATTTTTTTACAAAAATGTTTTTCACCAGTGATATAACTATAATAATAGATTGTTTTCTAGAGCGCCAGAATATTTCCAATAGTAATTTCTAATGAAGTGCTTTACAAAGAGTTCAGTCTTCTAGCACAGGTATTTGGTTAAAAGATAAGTTTTTCAATGTTTTGTTAAAACCAGTGAATTTCCAGACTTAACTTATACATAAAAATGCTACTGTATTTGTAAGTTATAGTAGTTACAGACGACTGCACTTAATATAAACGCTCTTGTTGCTTTAAAGTGATATTAGGTATTAGAATTTAGCAAGATAAAGTGAAACTGTCGATGTTGACTCTCCATGGTGAATTTTGATGCAAATTTAAAGGTGAGAGTTCAAATATCTTGATTATGCAAGGTCAACTATTTTAACTGGTGAGGTCTAAATAAAAACAAACAGTAGAATTGATACAACTAAAAACAGATGACCTAGACATCATAGTTATATAGAGCAGAATTCTCGACATAAGACATTATGGCCTGTAGTCCTGCACGTAACTCACAATTTTAATACATGTAATCAATCAGTTTTCAGTGTTACCGGGTGGCTTATTTAATTTAAAAAAAAACAAAAAAACTTCAATACTTTTATTCTAAATTCAGATGCCTCTCCACCTTTAAAGGGAGAAAGGTATAAGGTTCAAAGTCCACTTGACAGGCAGACACCTACTAGGTCATTTTGGGACTAATAAAACTAAAGTTATATTTTTATTTCAGTAATACGCTTGCAAGCAGAGGTTTGTGGAACTGGAAGCGAGAGGAACATGGAGAAAACCCACAAGATTGGTTACATGTATTCCTATCTACCACTTGACCACCCATTCTAATCTTATTTGCAGTGTGAGAAACAATAAAACATTTTTTATACAACATGTTGAATGGAAGTTACTGTCAATATAAAGCAAATTTTATACAGAGCACAAACATGCTGAAAAATATTCATAAATTTTAAATTGTAACATTTTTAATAAGGTGAGAAGGTGGGTCACATCTGCCATACAACTGGCTGTCTGTCATGCTGTGTCACTATTTCAGATTCGTTTTTGCTTTATGTTACCTAGATCATTTGATCATTTGAAAAACTATGAGAATTTCAATTAACCAACAGATGTTGTACTATCTGTTGACTCGACATTAAACTAACAAATACTTACAAGGGAGATCATCCCGATCTGGAGAAATGTTGCTACGGTTACTACTGTTATCTTCATGGTAACCATTTTGAAGATTTTCATTGCTGGCTGCCATATTTACAGACTATAGACTGATCAAACTCCAAGAAGATCTACAAGAGAGAGAGAGAGGGGGGTTATTGAGGTTAATGGACAATGAACACAAGTAGTTTCTCCTTAGAAAAACTTCAAACATTACCTGTATCTTCAAGGTTTAAAAACTAATGCTAAAAACTTTCAAATAGATAGGGTCATTACAACTCCTACAGTTCTGTGGAAGATGCAGAGATATGCCAAGGTCGATGTCTGTACACCAAGATTGCACCATTGTGTTAATTCAAGAGGGAATTAATTCCAAAGATGTTCCCAGACACTGGCTAATCGTTTCTACCATAAATGGTCCACCATGGTCTGGATGGCAAAGAGTAACGATTCCTCGACAAGACTGACACATTTTATCCAGCATATCTGCAGGATCACATGACGCCAGCTTCCTGTATTGCTAGGTTTATCAATGCTGATACTGTTTATCAATGCTGATACTGTTTATCAGTGCTGATACTGTTTATCAGTGACTCAATGCTGTTACTGACTTTTCCCCTCTTGGCCTACATTTCACTGACTGTTGTTTACCTCTGCGGGTTGTTGTGGTAAATGTCCAGCATACAATCATGTCTAAAATCACATTTCAGCTGCATTTCATTGCATCTCAGTATCTCTTGTCCAGGCAAATACATTAATCAATATCAGCAAATTAAAATAGTTCGACCATATCAGAAATCATTAAACTTTAAAATATATTCTAATTTAAACATGTCATGTATACAATAGGTGAATATCTACCTGTAGGAGATCTATGTTTAATGTAAAGTGCAAACATCTGTTACTTTTGACATATTGATAATTTATCAATTTATCCCTGTATTCAAAAGTTACTCAATCTAGCAGAAAAAGCATTCCTGCTTTCCATTGCCCCGAAAAGCTTTCACTGCCATCAACTACCTTTCAGGATATGAATGAATGTAATTTCAATAAGCTTATAAGTACTGGGAATTAATACTTCAAAGATACCAGGATAATTGTATTAAAAAAGGATTTTCAGGGCTTCATATCATTCAATTTCCTATAATTTACTGCATGAATAGCTTATCATGGTTATCAAACTAAGAGAGAGACCACACATAATTTTGTAGCATATAATCTGGATGTACACACATTTATATCACATTCCGCTGAAATCAAAATATTACTGTTTACACAAGCAATTGAAATATTTAGATTGTGAAGGTTTTCATCCTACCCCTGCCACCACACCAAACCATGAATAAAACAAGACTATAGATGTGGATTATATGACTCTAACATCACATGGGTCTACACATGCAAGAAACAAGTGACTAGTGTAGAATATTCACAAACATGCTTTTAACCTTTATTTAATTACATAAATAAATTCATACCCTGCTAGAATCTAAATAAAGATGGACTTTAATCTTACTTTAAACTTACTTAAAAGATGCATTATGTAAAAGCTAAATCTGCCTATCATAAGTCTTAAAACTATTAATTAGACATTTATTCACATGACAAGCCTATAATCAACTCTCTAGTCCATCAATTTAAACAGATTAAAAGACGTTCACATTTAATGATTTAATTCAAAAATATCGAATCGAGGCAAAGTCTCAAATAACAAGTACCGTTGTTAAAATAATAAACAATCTATGCCACATCTTGTCAAAACATCAAAAAGTGGTTACTTTGCTAAAAGAATAAAGTAATTTGAATGAAATTTTCAATATACTTATTTCGCATTATCTATATTTTCGAAATATCTAAATCTCTTTATCTAAATCTTAGAAAATGCATCTTTAAAATGCATAAAAAGTTTGCTTAATTATGATGATAATTTGAATCAAGACACACTTTGACTTGAATTTCATACAAAAAAAGTATAGTCGCAAACGGGTCGCCCGATGACTGTTTATTACTTACAGAGAGATGATTATTCATTACTTACAGAGAGATATGATGTATAACGTCCACTTGACACAATAATTCACTTGCGTGTAGGGGGCTTTAATAGTGGGAGCAATCCAGAAGACCCTACGAAAACTCAAATTCACATTCCGATATAACCTGTATATAGAAGGGGTCTTGATTATTGTAAACATGTATTTCTGTCGGACATTTTTTTTTTAGAGTTAAAGTTACATTCCCATGTACAAACTGGGCGATCAGATAATTTTGCTTTAAATCCTTCTCAAAACATTGTATTCGCAAGGGAATAACCCTGCTATAAAAATATATATTAAAAGAGGTCATGTGTGTGTCATGTGACTTGGCTAACGTGGTATCAAGTAACGGGTGCGAAGCCGGAGGAGAATTCATTGCATATATATATACAAGATGATGTTGTCTTTAATCGCTGTCCATTCTTTATAAATTTTGAAGCCTAATTTAATTCTTAGATTATCCACTGCCCAGAAACTGTTGTACGCTTAAGCTCACCACTTAGTTTATCAATATATACATCAAGTGCTCAATAACGCTGAGAAATCAGACAAACTTCACATGCAATCTTTGACGTCAGTTGAGCAGACATCCCTTACATTTTTGTCTTGTATGCGCTCCTTGGGTGTTTTTCAAGAAATCCAGTATTTTTCTAGTAAGATTGAATGTTTCTACTTCCAATACATACCAAAACTGCCATACTTTTATTGGAAATAACCACCCGATAATTTTTTTGTGGGAAAGTATCTTTAACTGTGCATGCATAGTTGTATTACTTACGCACATGTGCATATAATAACAGCTTTTTTTTTAAAATCTTAACCAACTGAGCTCAAATAAATTCATTATAAGAGTAATTTGAACTTGCATGAGCTCTTCTTTTGGAATGCAATGTTCCTCATCACCAAATATGTTACATCTAAGTGGAAATTTACTATTTATTGCTCAAGCCGAGGTTTGAAAATTTCAAGTCAAAAAAGTCAATTCTGCAATGAGGATGTTCAATATTGTTCAACCAGTCTGCCTACCAATAGAGAAAGATTTGGTTGGACAATCTTGGTTAAAATGTATAATAGGAGATCACTTTTATCTTAATACTGTAAGACAATGATTGAATACAAGACACACTTTTACCTGTTGCAGACAAAGAGCGGATAACTCAAATTAAGATTTAAAATAGATAGATAGATAAATAAATAAACAATATGGCCAAATTTTAATTTAGAAAATTAGTGAACTTAAAGTAGCTAAGTCTCTAACTCAATATCATCCAAAATCTTCGACATTGAAAACACGATTTATTTGTCGGTTTAAATCAACATTGATTTTGTGATCTTACCGTGAAAGGATGGCTTTCTGATGATATCCAATATTTAAGACAAAATCAACATTTTACAATTCATACACGAATTGTGTACCATAATGTGTTTCAGCACTATTTGTAATAAGGGACTCAACAAACGAGGCTAGGCATATTCCACAAGTCATGTCAAACGGTGACGCTATATTCTTATCTGGAGAGCATGCGCAATAAATACTATCAGCATAGACTGGAATAACCAGACGCTAGAGATTGCCATACGATTGAAACTTCTGGCGTATTTCGCCGAACCTAACTGATTAGAAATTACAGTAAAAACAGAAATGATTAAATGTAAATCAATTTATGTACATTCATATTACATTATTGTATGCGTTGCTACTTTGTGTCAATTTCTATGTCCCAAATATTAGCGATTTAGCTCCTTTAAAGTCTACTGACAAGGACCAAATTTAAAACCCTTGTTCACTTATCCCCACAGTTTAATTTGCTTTACTTCTAAAAGCTATAATTTTACAATACATTTTTAAAAAGATAAACACAGATTGACAAACTTAATAATCTAATGTCAGGAGTAATTTCAAACAAACATGACGCAAAACATATTAATTTCTCTTTCTAAATCAGAGGTCACATCCTTTGACCCCAAGGTCCATCTTTAAAATTGGGGTCCAAGCTTAATTGGGGTCATTAAATATAATGACGGGTGTCATCAACAAGACAAAGTGACTAAAATTCTGTTATGGGTATTTCTTACCTGTGCAGTCTAATAGTAATACAAAACTTATTACAACTAAAACAATGATGTTTCTACTAATCTGTATTCAAAGATCCATGAAATCGGAAGATTCCTGTCCCATTGTAACACCAGTCAAAAAAACATATATTTAACAGGACATCAGATTGTGCTACAGCTCAATTGATTTCAAATTTGTAAAATAGTTAAAAGTACAAAACACATTAATGGTGAATGTCATTCATGAGGTAGTGTATGTTTACTTGTTCTAGAACAACCATGGCATTTGAAAAGCTCACTAACAATGATAGCACTCTAATTAGAACACTTGGTACTAATACCATAGCAATGAGAACAGTCCCATTCAGGTTACTTAACTAACAGCACACAAACACACAAAAAAATGAAATGTTATGTAAAAATATATTAATATGTGTACCTGCAGATATGGAAAGGTTATAAAATACCATCAACCTACCCTTCTCAGACTAATTGAATACACTGTGCAAATGCAGTGAAATGTAAATATATAAATAAATAAAATGTAAATATATAGAGTACAAAGCACATTCAACTACTGGTTTGAATACAGTTGTGTCACAACAAACTCTACTCCTTTATAACTAGAGTACTTCATAGTATACATACTAGCCTATTGGAAGGACAATCACTTATATATTTTACATAAATACAGACCTGACATCATTCACTTTATCTTTATATCTGTATAATCTTAATATAGGTACATGTCAAAAACTGTGTCATATTTCTTGACTCTAATATCTTATATTAATTCCTGACAATTTATTAAAAGTGAAAAAGTGAAAAACACAACACAGATGGATTACACTACAGACAATTAGATGCATTGCATGTCAAAAACCACATCAGATTAAACACTATTAGGTCATCTATCTGACTCTTTAGTCTAAAGGGGGATCACGTGGCTAAGTGGGTAAGACGCTGGCTCGCTAGCCTGAAGGTCGGGAGTTCGATCCCTGCATTGGCCGAGAAAATTCATCCTGACAAACACAAAATTGTGTGGTCTGACAAGGTCTGTGACAGGTGCCTTAGGCTTGTGTTTCTCAATACATTGTATTTTCCAAAACAGTACAACAACAATAATGAATAAATTTTAGTGTGTGAGTCATGGAAAGATACATATATAATAGATCAAAATTGATACTACCCAATTATATAAAGCTGACATTCACCTATTTCAATGTCAAGCTAATATCTAAGAAGAACAGGTTTTACTTGAAGGTAAAAAATGATAAACGATCCACATTAAAATGAATTGTACCTCAGTATTATATTTTAACATGAATTTGGGGTCTAGATGGAATAAGCTTCTGAAGATGTTAGTTACAATGTATCACAACATCACCATTTTTTATCAGTATTCAAAAAGTTAGAATCTGGTCTAGCATAGGAGTACTGCTGACAATACATGAATACATTAGACACCTTATGACATGAGTACATAGTATGTACTACATCCCCTACTAATTTTGATTGGTCATTGACCCAGCTCCCAACCTCTCAGATTCCTGAATAGAAAATATCACGAATACCAAGTTTCAAACTTTCCAATATGTTTAGCTATGATAATCGAGTTGCAAAGTTCAAGGTTTGTGCTATGTCAACCTTGCTGGGACTTTTCCACTTTTCCACTATGATTATGCTATTTTCTAATTTACTTTTCTGTTCTTCCATTATGCTA